GATCCAGACAGAAAAACAGCGATTTGCACTTGTAGTCTTCAAACTAGGAAGCCTCGCGCAAGATTGGGTGCAAATGTGCAGCATCTCTTTAGATTTGACAAACTCGTTATGAAAAGGTTTGATGCAGCATGTTCAATCAGGCGCATCAAGTGTGCTTAATTTTTACGCGTTAAGGAAGGCAAGAACTAGCAAATTTTCGCTGAGAGCTCTTATCACCGCAATAACGTTTTCTGGAGCAGACACCACAATAAGGTTTTCACAAGGCGGTAGAATCTGGATGAAGGATCTTCGAGCCGGTGTAGCGTACACTGAGACATTTCGAGACCGTCCTGCTTTTTTATGGATGAAGGAGTGGGTGTTGCATCGAAAGCAGCGACATGCTTTTGTGCCAAAAGGATCAAGGGATGAAAGCTATAATTCGTACCAGAGCCAGTGGTCTTCGGGGAGAGAGAAAAGCTGATTAGCTGCGCGGCTCCGCCGATTTCGCAGATATTTCAGCTGTGGTAGTACAATTCTTGCGTGGCCATTTGCTCTCAAAAACATTGGTTGCCACCACGCATGGTCTTTCGACAAACACTTTGCATGAAGGCGTCGAGTCCCGGTAAGCCTTGGTAGAAAAAATGAATTCTATCATACCTCAAAGAGGTCGTGTTCAGTGGGCCTCAACAATAAAGAAAGTGACTCTTATTCAACGATGTGGGTTATATAGTCATTGTTCTGGCGGTTGCTAGTGAGGCCAGGAAAGATTTGATCAATTCAAAAACGTCGAGCAATTCTGCATGACTCAATATTCAATATACAAAGTACGGAAACGAAGGTCCGTGCGTCTTGCAACAGAATCGTGAAAGTTTCGAAGAGTCTGTGGAAACTCAGGTTAAGTTGAAATTTTTCACAGCGTTTACAGCTGACTCGTTCAAACCTAGATTTAAAAAGTTATAATCTCATCCTAGAATAAGCGTGGTTGGAGCGCCATAGACCTGAGATTAGTTTCCTTACTCATTGAGCATAAGCCTGCGCCATAGACCTGAGACAGCAGGAAGTCTATGATACTAGGTGCAACGCACTTTCCTTTTAGTGGATGGCTGGCGGGCCATGTAAACAACACTGAATGGAGGCAAAATAGAATGGGGAGGGCAAAATCTATATATCGCTTGGTGCTTTGAACAAAAAATACCCGAAGATAGACGCAATATTGAGCCGAGGTATCGGGAATCAATCAGAGTAATCGGTCATGCATTGCGGACTCCAAAGTGTATCTTTGCTGGGACAGGAATGACTTTGTACGATGACCCTCAGAAAGCATTATGGCAGAACAGTAATTTATAAGTGTAGGTCAGAGTTTCTGTTTTTACCAACAAAGCAACTGAGGGTTGTGGCCCTATGCTGTAGAGCGGATAAGAAGTGGCAAGTCGATGCAAAACGGCAATGCTCCAGCGTTTTAAGGATGAATATACTCATGTCATGATTCGATACTGTTGCTGTGCCAGCGCAATCATGCAGCTCGCCAATCGTGTGGAGCGATATTTCTTTCTTCAAGATTAAAAAATAAAGGGACATTGTAATCCAAGGGCTTCAGAGCCTTCTATCATTATTTGGCAGAAGCAAAGTATGTTCAAGGCAATACGTCGATGCCGACGAACCACACAAGACTTTTTGTGTTGTTGGGAACCATTCAAAGCTATAAGGCTACAAACCCACTTACTATCTGCGAATCATGATACCAAGTTGTGACCATACTACCTCGGACTATTTACGGAGTAGCGAAAAGAAGGTTAAGCGATGCTTTAAGTCTCTAGAAAGAATGCAGACACACCCTTTGTCCAGCGTAATTCCTCATGAGTCTGATTCAGAAAAGTTCTTTGACGAGAGAGCAGCCAAGGTCTTTGTGGGCGTTACTTTTTGTCTTCACGGCATTCCTGTTGAGATCGTGTTTAACCGTGACACCCGTTTCACTCCAAAGCTTTGACGTGCACTGCTGGAATATTGGGTACCAATTATCCATGTCAACCGCGGCACACCTTAAATTGTACAATTAAACAAAACGTTGGAATCAAGTCTTGGAAGACGAATTGCGTACTTTCGCTACGTCATTCGCGTTGAACAACTCCACGTATGTCTCGAATTGTCACTCATCATTATATGTGAACTATGGGATTCATCCTCAGGTAACTTGTTCCATGATAGATGAGGTCTCTATTTTAAGATTTGAAGTCCAAAACGATTAAGGCAATAAGTCGGCGCTACAGGCAGGCAAAATACATAAGAAGTTTATGGGTGGAAGGGTTGCATCCAAAGCGATTAGTCCAAAATCACGAGCTGTATCTACGATCTTTAAGACGAGGTTGTAACCATACTAACTCGGACCGTTCACGAAATAGAGAAATGGAGATTAAGTCACACTCTTGATATCTCGAGAAGAATGCGAAACACACTCTGTTTTCTACGATGGCTTGCGAAGAATTTATTATGATCCCGCTCTCATGAGCCGATCGGATATAAAGCTCTTCATTGAATTATCTTAACCGTTCTCTGTAGTTGGGCTACTCTCAAGAAGCGACGGGGTTCTAGAGCGCCAGAGCATCTCAAATCATGCAAAACAATGGCTTAGTTTATAGAGCGTAAATGACATTTGAGCTATCTCGTTTCACACGCACGCCAAAAGTCGCGGAAAACGTTGTCGAGCCACATCAATCGATAAACCCCGCGAGAACCGCTCTGGGGGCTCCCTCGGCTCTGCTTGATGAGCAACGAATGGTACAATTCTACCTTAAAAGTATAGCGGAACGGCGAGTACACAGGAATGTTACAATCGAGATCTTCTCGGAGCTCGAGGTTCCAATTTGGCAAACTGACCTGGATCAATTGCCACCTTCATTCTACCGCACTCTCGGCCGTTATCTTCCCCTGAGCAAAGGCATGACTGCTCGTTGCGGTCTTTCCTCACTTGCTAGTGAGCATTGACTTGTTGTAAGGTCGACATTTCGTCATAAGCTATAGCGGATGTCTAAGAGGTGTGCGGGGTTGAAACTAGCAGAATTACGAGGTGGTGAGCTTTACCTAAAGTCAACGTCGTGCTTTGCGCTTTGCGATAACAAGCATATGTTGACGTTCTGAATGTAAGTCTGCTTCGCTACAATTGACCTGCAATCCGTACACAGGGTAAATCCCTTATAAAGACTACGGTTTGTATTCATCACAGCTGCCTGTAGTGTCAGTGATCATTCTGAGAAGATATGACCTGCGGGGTCAAAAAGCACTCACAAAACGACATTTCAATGCTTGTTATGCGTGTAAAATAGTGGGACACTGGCCACTTAGACGTTTTAGCGCTCCATCGCAGCGCAGCTGCCAGCTTTGATGTTTGAAGCATAAACTACTTCGTGGTGGAACGGAAAGAGTTGGTATGGCCCACACACTTGCAGACGGGCAGGCTGCATTGCCTGAGACAGGCCCAGCTTGTTAGTGACAAGCTGGGCATTGTTGTGAGCTACACGACGATGTAACACAAAGCAATCAATTGTAGAAGCTGTAACACGTGCAGAAGAAGTGGGCGAGGCGAGACGGGGTGCACGCCTCCGCCTCGGTGAACCAAATAATCGTGTGTCTTCAGATGAGGGCAGGGTTGCCCGGGCTGGGCTTGGATAGTCATTGGAGCTATTTCGTCGGAGGACACCTCGGTCTCATTAGTACGAATCACTTAAAGGGTGTTGGTTGCGAGGACCGAGCTTTTCTCGAAAACACGCCGCGCCACGTCGGGTTGTACAAATTGGGATCCGACGCAAAGATGCTCGATGAAGCAGGCATTGTAGATTGCAAGAGTCGAGCAAAAATTTGCGCACAGTAGGTGTTCGTGTAGCATTCGCAGCGGGGCTTTCGTAGCTCTTTGCTTCGAGGAAGCTAAGCTAAGGTCACCGACCTTACGTTCTTTCACAGTACCAGTACAAGTGTAGCGGATCGCAATCCGCTACTTCTCAGTACTAAAGCCTTACCAAGGCAAACGAACACTTCTGTTCAGAAACAAAATTGTATATAGTTTCTTAGCTGCGGCGGAGCCGCTAATATCTTAAACCTAGGTTCTCCCCATTAATATAGTAATCATAAGAAAACCTAATCAATATAGTAATATAGCAATCTGTGCTTCTTGTCGCGGTGTAGCCAAACCACTGTGTGATTACACTAACTGTGTAATACACACCTATTTACGGTTATATCGACCCTTTTTAACGAGGGTACGACAGGACACGTGCAGTACGTATACCTTACACGTCTATATAATAAGTACGAAATATTCAATTTTTTTTAGGTAATTGTGAATATATAGAGTTCCTGAGGCATCAGTATAGTATGATGCTGTGAAGGCGAGGTGCGGTACCCAAAGATAATTAGTAACACGAAATTGTAGTTCAATCCTAAATACAACTCACTCTTGAAAAAACTTGCTGTGTAATTCGGTTGAATTATAATAGATCGACACTTTCATTTTGTTATAAATGTACTTGAGCTCGACTCTCTAAGCATGATAACAGACCAATGCTCATTGCTGCTGCACCATTGATCATCACGTCCTTCTTAAAGAGTCTCATTCCAATGGACCTTACAAACTCGCATTCAGTTCAGTTTACTTAAAGCGTAGCTAAAACAAGCATTGTAGGTTCGCAATTTGCTTTCAATTTGAAAGAGATAGCAACAATACTAAAAGAACATAAGTGAGCTCAACGTTGTTCGTTAATCTGCTCCAACATTGAATGCAACATACTTCAGCTTAAGATTTCAGTTTGCTGCAGAAATTCCACTTGAAAAATGCTGACAAAGCAACTGTCATGCGGAATCCTTGCTCCCGTCAGGTATACTTCAGATGGCCTGAGTGTGTCGCAATGAGAATAAAAATGGATTTTTTGACGTAGATAGCGATTGACATACAATATGGAGTATATAATTTGATATCATAGTCAGTATTACCGTAGAACCAACGCATATGCCATCGAAATCATTAGCATTGCTCAACTTGAAAGAGGCGAGCGCCCAAATTTTTCAATGAAAAGTTTACATGCGAGTCGCCCTTCGGACTCTTTCTTAGAGTTTAGCCACCACAAGATCAATGTTTCAGATTCATCACTGGTGCTACGAAGACTCAAACTGTCAAGAAATGCAGCATCAAAACGCTGGCGAATTTTCAAAGTCTTAGACAAATCATTCCCACCACTGAGAAATGTGAAGAGCATTTCGATGCCGTGATAATCCAACAGGATCTCGTACATTATCCTGTCGCGTACCTTCTTGTCACCACCAAAAGCTTGAGTGGCAATTTTATCCCATTTCTGAAATTGCGGACTACCAAAAAAGTCCGACGTCGAGCCCATGCCGTTCACGATTTCATGAAGCTGATTTTCTAATAAAGGCTTTAAATATATTCTGGCTGTAGACAGCTTATGCGACGTAGGTACGAGCTCTTTCCAAATCCATGATGCCGTGGTCCTCTCCACTAGAAGTTGAAGCGCAATTTTCTTGTATACTCCAACCGAGCCTGGCCTAATCCTCTCCTCTGCAAGATGAGAATCTTGACTTACGAGTTGCGAGCTTTGCGTTCTGATGTATTGACTGGCAGGGGATGCTACTGCAGTTGATAGGACGACCAGACTATACAAACAGAAGAAATGACGAGAGCTCGTTGTGCGATTAGCCTTCAAGAAATGAAGGCTGATTTGTCAAAGTCACAGTAATATATTTAATTGCTGGGTGTACTCAGTAATATTTATCAATTATCTAGTACACACCATTTCCACATCAAATTACAAAGTTACTAAAGTGGCGTATAATCTGACCGTGCATGACTGGCATTTTGACCCCGCGACATGTCCATCATGCCCAAAATTCACAATTTTCTTGCTCTCCGCAGCAAAACAATCCCAAAGACTATCATATTTATATTACACCAAGATAGGCTTGAGAATATAAAAATCTCAAACTTAACATAAAAAAGCGACAAATGCTGAATATTTGAACAAGACAAAAAGATTTGAATATCTTCGCAGGAAAATTATTATGTCAAGCATCACAGCTCACATAATGTAGTGGAGCTTCTTAGGGTGACGACGCAGCTTGCCACTTTTGATTAGTCGCACAATGACGCTATTGCTAACTCCCAAAGCGGTTGAGAGTCCCCTTCCTGTCATTCGGCGCTCTGCTGGTACGGCTGCAATCCGAGCCTTTAGCTCTTCATCTGGTACCTTTGGTTTTCGCCCCGAATGGCCTTTAATCCGACTAGCAACGTTACCAGCAAGTCCATCCATCGTATCAGAAGCTGAGTGCAACTTCCATAGACGTCGAATGGTTGCGCGATGCACTCCAAAGAAAGTGGCTGCAGCTTTCATATCCCCATGCTTTAAGCGTCCGCCGGCACTGTTTGCTAATAGATAATGAACGATGACCACACGCTGTTGATCTGTAAGGTTCTTTCGTTTCTCCTTAGATGACTTAATTGATGAATCGCCTGTTAGTGGTGATATGGGGAACTCCATCGCCTCTTGTAGTGTCTCGAGTGTCATATCGGGCACTTTAGCTGGTACTTCTGCGTCATTAAGCGTTATCTCGGGCAGTTTCGAAGGTGCATTTATTGATGCATCTGCCTTTGGACTAGTTGCCTGTACTAGCTCCGGAGATTGAACCGAGTTGGCGATAGGGAACGCTGTGGTCATGGTCGCATGGTCCATTCCGGACTGGTCGATTATGTTTGCCGCTTTTAGTTTGAGCCATCGTAATTAAGTCGTATTTTCATCGAATCACAAGTTACCATTTAACGCGCAAGCCAATCAAATGGCTACTAGAGCAGTCATTGTGGACGCAAATGGTACAATCAAAAGCACTGGCTCGAAAATGGCATCGGCGTATGCAGCATACGCTACGCAAGTGTTGAATGCATTAGAGACGCTTCTTGAGACGACAGGAATCAAGATCGAGCCTGCAGTAAACTTTGTTTCTTGTGGTGAAGGTTTAAACGAACATTTTGTCCCGAAAGCGTCATTGGAGACGCATTTGGTACGGAGTAATGTTCGGTATCTACATCCTTGTTAATCTTTACTATCGATACAATAATGGTAAATGAATCTTAGCGGAAATGCCATGGAATTCGACAAGCTCAAGTTGTCAATAACACAGCTGTAATAAGCTTAATGATAGATCGTCTGAAAGTATCTTGACTGACTTTTGTGAGGAATGAAACAGTTTTATTATGGCAGCCGCAGAAGTAGTAGCACATCTAGTTGTCAAGATGCCGAAATTATTGATAGTAAGCTGATAAACGGGATGGAGGATACACACAATGGGTGCAATGCTGAGATTCAAAGCTTGGTGGAGCCTCAGGAGGATAAACAAGATGTGAATGAAGAGAATGGAGTGATCGCGGCGATTGGACGCACTGAGACTTCTGCACGAGAATTCTATCAACAAGTGCAAGCGTGGAAGCGGATTCCGCGAGTTTTTGCAACGATGAAAGACACTGAACGAGAGCTGGTTGCAGAAGCTTCGTTACGGCGATGGTTGACCACCGAATTACATCGTTCTGGGATACGCAATAGTGACGAACTCGACGATGAATTGGTGGATTATATCGTGGGTCTGCTGAATCACCCGGACTTTTGTCAGCCTGATGTGCTCATACTGGAACTGCATGAATTTCTTGGCAAGTGCGTCGTCGTAAGTTACATTTTAGACAACCAAGTGTTGTGGATATGTTATTTATCTTTGTACTACGATGCTTGTTAACAGGATATCGTGCTTGCTCTTTGGAAATTCATGATTGTTGAGATTGGACTGCAGAGTGTATTTGTACGTTGTAAGATTAGTTTTGTGGCTTCGCAAAGCTTACTGGACTTTGAATCGACATTTAGAAATCGAACAAAGCTGAATTGAGAAACGAGACACAAGTCGCAACTTCAGCCGCGAGTTGTGTGCCCACAGCTTCGCCATCACGGATTCGATTGCAACCAACAGATACAGTTACAACAGTTGATTACAAAAGACGTCGTGCTTCTTATAGAAAGAAAGTAGGAACCAAGACCGGTCCTGCAGCATACCGTGAATTGATTGAAAAACACATGATTGAACTCAGTCAAGAAACAGGTCGTGAACTTGTGCATGCTGGTGGATTCAGTACGGAAGTTAGAGGTGGTGATGCCCGTAGCGAATTCCAAGCGGGTTGCCGTAGAAAGGTGGATTGGTGGAACTTCACAGACGCACTTCAAGTTCGCAATCGAAGCCGACGCCATTATAATCCAAACGGTTATCATAATAAGTCTCAACTAAAGTCCAGATCCAGATCAAGAAGCCGATCTAGTTCAAATTGTCACTCAAGAGCAACTCAACGACATCAAAGTGGGGAAAGTCCTCGAAAGCGGGACCGTCGCTATAGAAGTAGAAGCCGAAGGACAAGTCCACGACATTTTAACCGTCAAGACTCGAACTACCATAACAAACGCCGCCGGAGACGAAGTCACAGCAGGGAAGCAGACAAAACCGGTAACTATCGTCGCTACGGTCGATCTCATCACCGCTGATGTAGGTTCAAAACGCAATGGTTTCGTACACTTGGCGTTTAAAAATACTCAAAAACACAATGAAGGTTTCATAACCAATGCACTGACAGAACTTAAAAGTCCGAGAACTAATCGGAACATCTAATCGTGCAATGTCGCGACAGAATAAGCCACCGGGAGATTGTTCAACAATGGGCGCACTCATTTTTGGTGGTGGTGATAACCAACAGTCTTACCTTGATGAACGAAAATCCCGTCGATTTCAACCTGAAACTCCTGGCCAAAGCCTCAAGACCGCTAATCTTGGAGCGGCGGAGTTATCGTATTATGCCAAACCATCAGCTGCCCAAGAGCTGCGTGATCATTTAGCCGTTGCACCTGGTTCGGTTTCGCGAGAAAAGTTGCAAGAGACCACGACGCTGACCAATGTTCGACGCGACAATTATTCTGGTAGCAGATCTGACTACTTTGCGAACGGGATGGATGGCTCCGAAGGTGATAACAATAGCAATCAATCGCGACGTACTCGTCGCATGTTTCAAGCATCATCTGGAGGCTCTTCTTTTAAATTGGGCTAAGTTAGCAAGTTATAGTTGACTAGACTCAAGTGTTAACTTCGATTCTTAGTAAACGTCTATCTTGACTAAAATGTTATGTTACACTATTCATAGAAGTATCTCGTACTTCTGGAATTAGAAACGCTGTTGTTATAAAGACATGGGTGGCTTCATCTCGAAGAATTCTGTAGTTCCGCAAGCCCCGCTCTCTCATCCTGAGACGAATGCATCAGCGCAAAGTAGTAAGAACAAGCACAAGCTTAATACATTAGTACCAGATCCTCAAGCTACCAATTCTGAAAATTCCACAACTTTGGAAATAGAAGCTTCTTTCAGTCATGCTGACCTCGGTGTGCAGTTTTTGAAAGCTGTGAAACGTGGTGATGTTGCGATCATGGAAACTTTGCTGCTGCAATACCAAGTACAAGAACCATCGAGTACAGAATTCTTTGAAAATAAGATTGAAGGAAAGGGTATTGAAACGTTGGTAAATATCCGAGGGATGTGGGAGAGCACACCACTGATCTCGGCTGCACAGTATGCACATTGTGAAGCTGCTTTGTGGTTACTAAATCATGGTGCCAATCCCCATTCTAGTAATGAAAAAAATGTGACGGCTTTATTGTTGGCTAGTCTAGAAGGGTTGACACCTCTTGTTGTAAAACTTGTTGAAAACATTGATTCGAAATCTTCCACTCAATCAATTGATCAACAGATTGGAGCTGTATACAATGCAGTTTTTGATGTCAATTTGCGGTTGAGTCCGCTCCTTGCTGCAAGTATGAATGGCCATGAAGACATTGTTCGTCTTTTGCTTGACAATGGTGCGGATGTGAATCAGCAAGTGGTTACTACAGCTACTCCAAGCAATTGCTCACCAGACGGATCGACAGCGCTACTATTAGCTTCGCAATATGGACACACAAATGTAGTGAATCTCTTGTTACAACGAAATGCAGATTACACTTTGCTAGATAGTGCGACAGGAAGTTCTGCATTCTCCCTTGCATGTGAATATGGTCAAGAGGAATGTGCTATGCTATTGCTTCAAATTATGACGGGGAAATCTAAAAGTCCGAAAACTAGTGACATGGGAATGGAGAGTTGGCAAGCTGGTAATCATCAGGGTTTTACACCGCTACATTTTGCTGCGGCAAATGGATTGGTGGGTGTCTGTACAGCTATTCTATCAGCTTTAAAAGCGCAACAAAGCCTTGAAGATGAAGTTTTGGCTCTTTCTTTTGTAAACGCTCGTGCAGGACCTCGACAAGAGAGTGCACTATTACTTGCAGCTCGTAAACGACAGAATGAAACATCGCGTTTACTATTGGAAGCCGGTGCAGATGCAGAACTTGTGGATCGAGATGGAAATACGGCGATGCAGGTGTTTCTTCGCAACAAGCAAGACGCATTGTTGCAGTTATGTGGCGTTGATAGTAGTAAATCACTAAATGAAGATCAAAATGCAATGGCTTTACTCAAATGTAAAGAAGAAGAGCTGCGGGGAGCTGAAACACATGCTAACGAGGACAATTACATGAATGCTAAGATTTTGACCGATGTCTAACTTAATAATTCGGTAACATGCTCTAAAGTTTTGTATGCGATTAAATTTTCACATTCAATACATTTGCTGAAATGACGAGTCTCAAGAAAAAGAAGCGCAAGCCTAAACTTGCGCCACGCTTTGAGCTTTATAAGAATACAAAGTATAGTATACAAGAGAATCTTGCTACATATACAGAACAAGCAGAGCTAGTGCGTGAGGTCTTTATGTCTGCCAGTTGTCGTTGCTTTGTGCTCAAGTCATTTAGTGAAGCCAATTTTCACAAAAGTCTTAAGTTTGGGATCTGGAGCACTACGTCGCTGCATAATGCGCTGTTAGACCAAGTGTTTAAAAGTGACTTGACTGCTGTAAGACCAGTCTTATTCTTTTTCAGGTGAATATCTCACATAAATTCTTCATGGTGTTGGATACATGTGACTAACCGAAAATGATAGTATTTGTGGTACGAAACACTTTAATGGAGTGGCTCGCATGACGTCAAAAGTTCGGACGGATGTGAAATTTCAACTATGGGAGAAACTCAAGTATGAAGGCTATTTTCACGTTGAGTGGCTGTTAGTAAAGGACGTGCCCAATTGCGTCTTCACAGGTGTCAAAATGAGCAACACGCCTTCAAAAAAATCAATTACTTCTTGTTGGGATTGTGAAGAAGTGCCATATGAAGAGGTTTGGCGTATTTGAGTCTGATTGCAATGTACTCGCCTCTCATACAACTCGTATATGGAAATTGTGCGTACTTCAGGCCAATGAGTTTCTAACCATCTTTACTGGATTTAATAGTCGATCAACTGCATGGGATGATTTCGACCATTACGACCAGCTTCAAGAACAAATTCAGCGCAAGCGAGGTCTTGTCTCATCTGCCGAAGCTGACAAGACAGATCTTAATTTGTTTCTCGTACCGGTCCATCCAGAAGAACCTGTTTCGATAGTATAAAGATAATAAGAAGAGAGTACCGACAAATTTTGACGCCTGATGCGGACGTTCGCGGGGTTTGGACAATCAAGGCGACGATAAAGTCTCGTTTTGACGTCAAGTTTGAAGGCGGTGATGTTGCCTCATCAAATAATGAGGTCACTTCCTTGATCATAATTGACATGCTTGAGCTGGCCTACAACCTTGCTATATTGCTAGAACTCGACGCTTGTTGTTTCCAATACGAGTAGAAGGTAGTGTACGAATTAAATTCTTAATAATTTTGAAGATCGTTGCTTCAGCGGCAATTGCGAAATTGATTTTAAGAGAGTGGGTGAAAGCAGTATCAAAAGTGGTTTCGGGGTCGATGCAATTGCAGCATAAGGAACTAAAGCGACTTTTGATGCGTGCCATGCCGTTTGCTTTAAATTCTTCTCGAAGATGCCAGACGTGGTTCGATAAGGAGTCTGCTGGTCGACAACGTTTGAAATTGGCTCGATTGAAATTCACAATTGCTGCACGTCCCTGTGCAATCTGTGCCTTCTTGGACTGCATGGCAGGAACAAGAGCCAATGCCATGAGAAAGCGAGCACGAGCGATCATGCGCAGCTTACAAAAAATAGTATACGAAACTGTTGCCGTTCGATGATCACCAAAGTTTTGGTTTACTCCCAAAATCTCGATTCGTATAACTTTTTTAACCATGTTTACTTCAATGATAACATTGTCGAGTGAAGCAAAATGGACCACACGCATGTCTAAGGCAAGTTCTTCCAGAAAATTGGGTTCACTTCCTAAAATCTTCCGCAAAAATTAGACATTGATGCTCAAAGCGATTTTCCGGCGCAACTTGGATAACAAGTCGTCTAGTATCTGCAGCTTCGGACCTCGCGTTATTGCCGTGTATTATGATAAAATTCATGCAAAACTTTTTGGCAACTCACGTGCATCATACTCGTTCACCCCATCCACTTCTTCTTAAAACATGTTTTTTCTGTGTAACAATGCAATAATGTTAACCAAAGATATAGCTGTTAGTCTGCACTGTTAGTCAGTGCTCATACTCACATTGGTGATGCTGTAGGCTTCACTGGAAATCATGGCAAATACACACAATAATCGCTCATCAGCCTTATGCGAGAATGAAAACGAAGTTTATGTGGGATGCGGAGCAATTGTAGTAAGAAAATGGCACTATATATGTATATACATGGCAGAGCTGCAATCGCATCAACGATAATAAGTAAAGTTCAGCTATCATTCGGCGATCGATTCGATAAGCACTTTCCTTCTCTACTCCCCGTTTCAAAGAACGAGTGTGTTTTCGTCGCATCAAAGTCAAGCATCTCCGTACAATATTAACAAACGAATAAACCAAGGGTATTTCTCAAACGGATTTCTGCCATCCTCCATGTCAAATACAGCGTTGACTGCACATAGCACAACAGTCAGAAAATGTCATGGTGGCGATATTAGTATTTATGTGACCAGGACGACAATCGCATTAAAAAAATAAAGACGATACTTGCAAGATCCAACAGAGGCGAAAGCGACTAAAAGGATCTATTATTCACAACTTACAATCTCTTTACTACTTCCACGCGTCATCATTACTTTGTCTTCCTCAATTAATAACACCACTTGATCACTTGACCACTCGACCACTTCAAGGCTTGAACAAACAGGCCATCGTTTTAAGGAAAAATACTCAACTTTAGAAGTAACAACAATTGACCTTGTTGGAAAAGTGCCCACAAATTGATTATAAACACTTACAATCGTAATTGTCCAACTGTCGTTTTCAACAAGACTTAATTTTCTATGCGTAATACTGCAGAGTAGCCTTCTTCTTGGCCGATACTACCGAAATACCCTCCATAAAATCCTCGTGCTTGATCACGTTACTTTCACGGCGCAAAGCAAGCATACCAGCTTCAACGCACACCTAACAGTAATCTCGATCAGGATAAACTCAGCTCATTTTACGGAAAGGATATGTAACGCACCGCCTTGAGCTGGGCACCATTAAAGTCGTCGGTAGAGCGCGCCAATTCATCGAAATTGGTATCTGCAAGTGTTTATTAAATAGCATAATTTTGTCTGAGTTTGCCACGAGGAGCTAGTCATTTCGGTCCTTGCTTACCTTCCGTGTCGACATTCATCTTTCGAGAGTGAATCTGCAAAATACGAGCTCGAGCTTCTTCAGTAGGATGTGGCAACTCAATCTACACCATGAAGGAATCTCGTCGTAAGCTTTTTGTTGCCATATTATCATGATATACGCGAACCTTGCGATCAAGTCGTCCTGAACGAAGTAGTGCAGGGTCTAACACATCAGGACGATTCGTAGCAGCTATCACTTTGATCTTCGTATTACTTGTAAATCCATCCAGCTGGTTGAGCAGCTCCAACATCGTACGCTGCACTTCTCGATCTCCAGATTGTTCACCACCAAACCGTTTCGTACCAATTGCATCTAGCTACATTCCAACTTATCATTAAACCATCATACAAAATGCACTACATCATCATTTACCTCGTCAATAAAAATTATTGCTCCACCACGGTCTTGGTCCTTACACTTTTCCTTGGCTAATTCGAATGCATCTCGCACGAGTTTTGCGCCATCACCAATAAACATCTGCACAAGTTGTGGAGCTGCCAATTTGAGAAAGATAGCGTCCGTTTGCTTCGCACAGGCTCGTGCTAGCAACGTCTTGCCAGTGCCAGGGGGTCCATGTAACAACACTCCTTTGGGCGGCATAATACCAATCGCTTCAAACCTCTCCTTATGAGTCATAGGCAGCACAACAGCCTCAACAAGCTCCTGGATTTGCTTATCTAGTCCACCAATGTCACTGTATTCTTCTGTAGGCTTTTCGTCTACCTCCATAGCCTTCACACGCGAGTCGTATTCACTCGGAAGCTTCTCTAATATAAGATAGCTGTCTTTATTCACACCAACAAGATCATTCGGGATAAGTGTGGTCGAGTCAACAAGGCCAGGAATCGGCAAGAAGATGGTTTGCCTTGTGCTTGTCTTGATGACTGCACTCTTGCCCTTACGAGCAGCATCGACGTCCGTTGCGGCGCCATCCTGTTCGTCTTCATCGTCTTCAAGTTCCAGCACTTCAACCACATTAGCAACAAGGTACGGCAATTGCTTGTTAAGCTTCACTTTTTCATTGTTTTCCTTAATGCGTTCCCGCTGCGAATTGCTTTCGTGGTTAATGCGCTGAATGTCACTACGCATGATACGAATGTTATTATCCAGTAAACGAATACGCTGTCGTAGTTCTTCATTTGACATGAGTAAGATCTCTGGATCAAGCTGTTCATCCGCGCCCCAGATCTCGGACGACTCCAACTCGCTCATTTTGTCTATGTAATTAACTTGTGATGAACAAAGTAAAACTTAGTGTATTAGATCTTCCCCTTTAGATAAGATACTGAGATCTAACTTGATAAAATTAAGCAATTTAATAATACAAGCTGTCGTCATTCAAAGCTACCGGCCCACTTCGTAACACAGCCAACGTGCACGAACTCATTGTTATCGTCCGAGTTATCATCCGCTGTACTCTGACTTTGTCTCTTGGGTTTGATCGTCTTCTTAGCAACCTCCATCGCGCATGATACGATTGAAATCTCCTTTGTGTCGACGTCTTGTGATATCCGGATCTCGGCGTCTGGATTAAAAGGGCGAAGGTAGCGCAACAATTTCGACTTTAAAAGCTGAATTGGACCTGTCTCCACGTCACGGGCGCCATACTTGGCAAATACCTTGCTGGACTTGATCTTGCCATTTACTACTGCGGATCGCACTTTGTAATGCACCGAGTCAAGACGAGACATGTAGTCTGCGATATGATCCTGAATGCAATTTGGCAATCAATTTAGCTAGTTAAACTCGTCTTCTGCATTGAAAGTGAAAGAAATGCACCTCAATCCACAGTCGGTGCCAGTACTTGCCACGGTAATTTTCGTCCAGCTGTCGCAATTTTAATGCAATAATCTCGACGATGTGTTGATGCTCAAAAGGCAGGAACGGAATGACCTGCAGCAGGACGAGTGTCAAAATCGAGGTTCTTAATCGAGCACTAGTCTGCAGCATGCTTCTTAAACCTGATCAATCATTTTTCCAAAGTCTAGTCGCTTCCATTGATTGTCTAAGGCTGACTTGACGACCCTCTCAAGCTGAACTGTGGGTATCTCATCTCGGGTATCATATTGAATCATAACTTGCTCCATTTCTCCGACACCAATATCTGATACAAGCACGAAAATTACCTGCGTAGATGTGAGCAATAAGGACAAATCAACCAAGATCGAGCGTTTGCCATTTATTGTCACTTACATTGGCAGTGTCGATGTTCTTGGTCACTCCGTGCTTGTAATAGGATAATTGCGAGCTTTCACTCACCGCCTCCATAAAAACTGCATCACACAACACAATCATTAACGACTACTACTTTAACAAAAGGTTGTCTTGCCATCTAGTGTGTGCGGGATGACTTTTTGTACTTCATCGATCACCACGACAGCTTTCCCAGAGCAATGAATTAAGTGCTCTGCCAGTCTGTACATTATTATTATATCAAATGTATCTGACATCCAACTTACTAGAAACATCGAGGCTTACCTGGTCTTAATCTGTGTGTGGTATTCTGTGATGGGGTTCGTAAAGTTGTCACTGAAATCCTCTCCACTGTCACAAAAACGTAATCGCTGTATGATTTTTATTCATTCCAGCACGGCAACTTTTGAATATTAATTACCGAAACATCAGCAATCCTGTCGGCACACGCCTCTCACTGTTTGGAAGCTTCTTTTTGCGTTTAAATAACGCTTCCGCGATCAAATTCGACATTTCCGTCTTTCCCGTACCCGTTGGTCCTGTAATTGCCAATACCAACGGTGCACGATCTTTTGTAGAGCTTTGGCTGAAAATAACGGACCATTCTCAAGTCAGATAGACAATAAGATCCTTGCCAAACTCCCACATACGAAAATTCCCATGCTTCGATTGCGCCGACCACCGCCTCAACAGCTCGCTCCTGACCTTTTAGATTCTCCTGCAGATGCTGACGTACTACTTGGGACGGTTTGTCGACAAACGTACACTGATCTGCAACGTCCCTTAACAAATTGAGCCGGTAATATAATCTTTCTAGCGTCACGTACAGCTTAGTCCTGTATGATACATGACCGTCTCCCAATATTCATTCCATGGAATCTGAAGCGCGAAGATTTTTGATACATCACATACAGCAAACAGGGATAGAAGCAGCGCGCGTCGCACAGCGAAAGTCATTAGTGTCTTCTAATGTAAAATTGACCCTATGACTTTTCAATCTAGTACTTTTTAACAAGATATTTACGTAACAGCTTACTTTATTAGTCCTAGCCAAAGTTGAAGTGCGCATTTTTCGATGGCAGGCGCCACTGTCTTCCGCGCTCAGCTTGTGATGGAAGACCCATTAAATGGATTGAAGCTTAAGCACTCTAAACGTCATGGACAATTGACGCTAGACACGACTACACAAAGTGCACAGCTTGTATATCCTCGTGTTGGACGATTTTTCCAGCGCAGGTTCGAGCAGCCGCTAAAATGCGTCATGGGTCGAAAATTAGTACGCGTGTATTCTAGCAACGGGAAGAAGCATTTTACGTGAGAATTCTTGATGAAAATACAAATAATCTCAAATGAGTGATAATCGACATGCCCCGAAGGTGTCGACTACTGTCAGAGCAAGATGCGGCTAAATGCTCGGAGACGCTTCGCAGTTTTGGAGGTCCGAGTTATCATTAGAAGGCTGCTTCATGTTTAACTTATTTACATGCAGTGGAGGTTATTATCGTTGGTGAATTGATGCTGGAAGCCGATCAATGCGGTCAGAACACTCAGGATGCGGTAATCGCTGGTAGGGCTTGTATTCGGGTGAAAGATGGAAGTATACTAACAGATAGGCGCAGGAGGAAAAGCTGCTTTGTTGGCTCTTCGTGAAGCATCTCCTAGGTCAATGCTGACTGAGATCCGCGAGTACGAAGAATCGACCCAACTCCGAGAAGACACAGAGATTATTATGCGATCTCTGTTTGACATGCACTCATGACATAATTTTTATATTAACTAAACAATATCATACCATTCACGCTTCACAATTCTCATTCAATGTCCAAAGGAACAACACGTGACTGCACCAACGACACAACACACGACGTTTTTTGTCAGCAATTTCATCCGTTAAGTGGATTAGTGCTGTACGCGTCGTATATGCCAAGAATAAAAACACTAGCAAGCTGCGAGACAATAACGCTGGCCAGACCGTAGCGGTAGGCCCAATACAAACGTTTGGAAGAAAGACAATCCATTTCATTAACCCAGGTCGACACTGTTGAAAGCGAACCCAAAAAGCCAACCATGACACCTCCTTGGCCCCACATAATAAAATGTCGATAGGCAGACGCACCATCTTGATATACAACGCTACCAATGATCGCCATACCGCAGCTCAAGCATGATGCAGCCACGTTTGGAAGAAAAGTGAACAAAGGGAAGCGCTTACACATAGGTCTGACATTGTACAGCGATAAATACCACCGCAGCAGTGCGCCAAACGGTCCGAAGCAAACTGCAAGCAGTCTTGAGCTTTGGTAATTGTCAAAGCCACAGAACGCCAGAAACCAGAAAAGTGCTGTCAAGGAAAGCGCTCCACCAACCCAAATTATATCGTGATGCTGAACTGGATGCTGCTCATACTCCACTTGTGCAATCTCTGCCATGAGCTCATTGCACGAATCTCGAGCAATGGCCAGCGACTCTTCCGTTGCAGTCACTCGTCGCATAACTAAAGGCCCAAACCTGTGCATTTTTGTTCTTCGAAAGTGACTAATATTTCTTTCCAAATCCAAATTCAACTGCGCAAGATTGATAGGCGGTTTACGGAAAGGGTAGTTCCGTAGTGTGAGATAGTGTAAAATGCCTTCTGCAACATGGTGACCTAATCGAAGACTCGTGATGGCGCTTGCTACTTGTACACACACCATTAGAATGGCATTTAGCCAGCGACGTTCGACGAACATAAGTGCGGCGCTAAGATCCCAGCTAGCAAACGTTGTACAACTACCACAAAAGCCAGTGGTAATTCCACTCAGCAATACGTCGTGCTTGCCGTGTAAGACAAGTCTAATCCGGGTCGCGAGTCCCATTATAAAGCAACCGAACACATTTGGCAAGAAAAAGCTGAATCCCAGTAACTTCAGCAGCTCTGTTTGACTCTCGTTCACAACGTTGGCCAATTCGGTAAGTAGCACGCGAATGCCCACGCCTAGATACGCGCCAATCATGATACTCATTGCTACAGAAACACAACTACCCATCGTTTTACCAATAAAAATAATGTCTGAAGCGGCTCTTGCTGAGCAGTCACTAGCAACTTCATTGCTTAGGTGCAATTGGTCCACAAAGACGGCAATGTCCCCTCCTTCCTCCTCAGACGATGTGCTACTACTGACAGACTCGGACACGGGAGTCGCTAGAGTAGCGTATCCCTCTGAAATGGTGTGCATCGACCCAATACTTCGTAGTGAGCCGACGCTCCGGAGCGAGCCAACGCTTTGAAGTGTCGCCATTCAGGTCCGCCGAATTTCGTCTTACAGGGAACCGAATCAGCAAGTTCTTCTCATACAAAAGCGCAGTTAATATGGCCGTCCAGCCTATACCCACTCAGCACATCTGTAAAGTCTATTCGCACCAGGTTCGCGGGGCTTTCCGTGCCCTGTGACACTCTAATGGTGACCTCGAGCAGGAATAGTATACATCCATGTGGCGTTACTCCAAGTTACATAGTAGCGCTAAATTAAACGTAATCCATGTTGAGGTTCAAGGTTATTAAATCCAAAAGAGATTTGCTAAAGTATAGTGTCGACGGTCACAAGGTACTAATGTAACTAAACCTTCTCGCTCGCGTCCACTTCTGCTTCTGATGTTTTGTCTTCGATTAGTTGCGGAGTATGGAGCACGTTAAAGTCGTTGCGGCGTGGGGATGGAGAAGGGTTTACTTCAGGCGTATGTGGATACTGTCCTGTGGCCATCTTTCTATCTTGCTCATGATCATTGTGCATGAAATATAAGTTTGGCCGGTTGTATCTACGATTAGAAAATGGGTCAAATTCTGCACCTGATGTACCGAACATCGACACACGTGATGGCGGAGGTGGCATCGGTATTCTTTCTGCCGCAAATATCTCTGCAAGACGATCGTAGTCTACGGAATGATGGTTCACAACGCTTCGACCAAGCGTAACGAAGCGACCTTCAACGCTCATTTCCGCCATGGAATCTTGATAATTGGGTCTCATAAAGTATGACGCTGTGCTGAAATCGCTTGTAGTGCTCAATTCATTTGAAAGAGCCAATGCCAACCCTTTGCCCAATAAAGCCATACGTGTAGCAATGTTGGCAAGAGCGATTGACGGTTGGATGACCAATACTCCCAATTCCTTCATTTCCTTGCTAAATGCGCAATCTGGTACAAATGCAATCATCCGTGGGTGATTCTCTCCAAGCAGCGACTTGAGCAAGTGTACATTCTCGCGCGTACGGGAAATATCACCGGTAAAGATTAGAACGTCTGCAGTTGACATAGTCTGCGCAGTATCGCGATCCTTAAGTGTATTCTTGTACGAAATAAGCTCTTCTTTTGTGGATCTTTGCATGATCGTTTCATTCATTTTCTGCCACTTGCTTGCACTTTCCTTATCCAAAAGTGGTACATTAACTTGAGCTCCGTAGAGTGATAGATCAAGTGCGACCTCAAATGCAACTTCGTCATCTCCAATCACAGTCGCTGTCTTGATTTTAAAAAGTGACTCGGATGGCTGTAGCTCTTTGTTCGTCACGGAACTTGGCATTCGTTGAGTGGAATCAAAAATGCTAAAGTTGCTATATTCGCCTTGGTGAATGTTGCTCACATTGCCACCGTGAATAGTACTATGGTGACGATGGCTATGAATGCTCTTGTGGTTGCTATGACCATCAGAACGAAGCACACCAGGCACCTCAGCACGGTCCTTCAACGTCTCACCTGAGCGACCTAAGCCAAAAGAGCATAATACGGGTCCAACGATCTGATTTACAACAACAGCCGCCACGATCGTTGATCCAAACTCCGTAGCCCAAGATTCTTCGCTCATATTGTCGACTTCAGCAGCCAATCCCAACGCAACGCCAGCTTGTGGCGTTAAAGTGAGCCACAGATTATTGTATTGTTTCGGCGTCAACTTTAGTAAAAAACGTCCTCCAAAGTAACAGGCAATGAAGATAGCGACATATCGAAGACCAACGTACAAACTCATGAGTGGAATGACATGTACGACTTTGTCTAGCTTCAAAGCGGCACCCGTCATCACAAAAAAGGGTAGGAACATGTACGGTGCCACCGTGTCGAGGATCACGTGCATGTCGTGTCGTATCCTAGTATTGTGACCAGCAATACATGAAGCGATCATCAGAATGAGCAGCGGCTCCAACTTAACTTCCCATGACAAACTGTATGCTGCTGCCGTTGCTTCAGCTGTAAATGTTGTGGCAATATAGAATAGATAGCCCATGGAGAGCCAAATAAAACCTTTTAATGATAATGCCAGGTCGGGTGTCCAGCGCGACGTCGTTTGATTGTCTTCTAAATTGTATGAATCGTGAGGAAGTGCCGAGATATCTCGTGTCACCGACTGCATCATGTAAGACGATCTTTGCGGATGGTACGTTGATCGGGCATGTTTGTTTTCATTATCATGGTTCGAGTGCTTATGACCACCTCCTGGGATCATAAAGATGAGAACAATTACACCGGCAAGCAAGACACCGACAATAATATTGACTAACACGACACTAATCGTAAAAGCGAGATTCAGCAAGGATACATCCAGCTCCGCACAATAAATTGAGCATATGATACGAGAGACGGAAAAAGACAATAAAACCACAAATTCCGCCAACATGGTCGCTCCAAGCATCAAACTTGTGAGTGGACCCACACTATTCAGCTCAATCTTGATGGCCATTACAGTAGCTGGTGATCCTAGTACCGAGATGGAGCCAAACATGAGAGCGATGCCCACTTGACAGTACAGGGCCAGATCTCTGTAGAAAAAGTTTTCTTCTGCAAGTAACACGACACCTGCGAGGATGGTCATTGCCGTCACATAAAGCGTAGCCAAAAGAATCAAGATAGGCTTGAGCTGCGGCCGAAGATCCGGCAGATAAATTTCTTGACCAGCTTGGAACGAAATGAATGAGAGGGCGAGAGCACTGACGTACCTGGCCATCATGGCCACCATCCTTTCTGTGATCAAATCGGTAATAAATGGACCAGCAATGATGCCAATGACCAGGTATCCAGTAATAAGTGGTAGTTTAAACAGCTTGGGAAAGAAAAGTCCGAGTGGATGAGCGGCCATGAGAATGACAATGAACGAGAGTCCATATTTAAGAGTCTCAATGACCTCACCCCACGACTGAAATGGCATAGGTTTCGGATGTCCTGTGCCAGTATTGAGTCGGCGAGTAACGTCGCCTTCATTGTCATATCTATCGCGTAATACTGGATTTGCTGATACGGATGAAACTAACCAGAAAGTTATTGTGAACGTCGACACAAGCTGAATGAGAGAAACGTTAGGTTTCATTGGCGGAACTTTCAATAAAGGGAATTGTCTCGACAGACTTGTGGGGCCGAGCCCAAAAAATGAAATGAAGGCAGTCAGACAGATCTTCGATTTAGGTCAGCACCACAAGCATCTGGTCTTGATTTGCAAATGATGTGCTTTTGATTATGATTGAAGCAGACTGCAGAGATAGATATGTACCGAATAAGAGATTGTATTGAATTACACGAATAGCAACTTGACCATATTAATTGCACGGAAACATCATGGACGGCGTAATTGTCCAGCATTCTCGACCCGAGCGATGTGATACCTGTGACTACAGCTCTTACATGATGCAGATACTTCTTTGTACTAGTAGACGGAGAATAAATCTGATCGGTCCAGTGAGACACCTAGTTTTTAGGTCTTATTATACAAGCTTATGGTTAAAAATTAAGCCTGACGTGATCAAATCATTGATGGGTAAACAACTAGTGTGGACAACCCAATTCATGTTGCCAACCTCTAAATGATCTCCGACCCATACACCGCCAATTGTAAGCTCAGTGTTACACTGTGAGAACTCGACTTGATAGTGAAATCTATTCATAATTACACCTACATAATCTATATACTTCATAATAATTATAGAACTTCAAGACTGTCTTTTCGATAAGATTATGCTCCTTCTGGTGATGCGCTGATGCTTTTATGCAAACATCAGCTGAATAGGCGTCTGTTTCTTACACATCGTCGATGAGAGGCTTTGTCATACTTACATTTAGATATTAAAAAGGTGGCTTTAATGCCGGGTGCTGTGCTACGACTCCAGATGTTATATCGTGCCACCATAGACTTCGAAAACATGTGCACTTACGTTTAATGGGTTTGTGGTCACCTGGTCGTATCAGGTATAATGGCGTACAAGTCGGTATGGCGGGCACATCCGGTTCGAAACAATTGACCAACGGATGTATAATTTAAGCTGTCCACACCACTTGGAACATGACGTACCGTATTAGAATAGTCCTTCCGATCGTTCATTGCATAAGCCTTGTATACTTGTATTACGAATCAATGATGACATACAAAATTGTTTACTTGCATCAAGCTAAGATGTCTGAGCCCGTTCCGAGAACTTTTTTAGTCTTAAGAAGTACAACGCATATTGACCAGATCTAATGCTTGATCACACGCGCCTCTTCTGCATCTCGCGAGAGATTTGAGCGATTGCACCATTATGCAGGCGAGTTATAGTGTTTGTCAAACGTGAATAGGAACAACGAAGCCGCTTTGGCTTGGCCAAAGTTGTGATGTGACTATGGTCTAAAATACTGTGCTGATCTGATAAGCAAGATACATGTTGCTAACATGTAGTTAATTAAAACGCTCTATCATAACGAGAGCGTACTGTGATGCTGATTGTGCATTGAGTGAACCATTCGAACAGTTCATTACTAGAGACAGATACATGTATGTAGAGCTGGCATTACTAGAGACAGATACATGTATGTAGAGCTGGTAGAAGGTGTGACGGGTAGCTCGACGTAGAACTTCATTATGGGCTTGATAGTGAAATTCAGTCTTGAAGCAACGCTTCATAAGTCACATTCAGTTTGCTGCGAGTACAAGCGGAGACTAATGATCGAATGACGTTCAAGATCGACATGCCAGTGCATCAGACGAAAGGGTAATATATCAAACAAGTCGAAACATGGTGAGACAAGCAACTCACGTTGGATTAGACTATTACACACGTTTGCTGCCAAGAATACGCCGACGCCGAGCATAAAGTCATCAGTACGGTGAAAAGCGGCAAGTGAAGCTGAACATAACGTCATATATGTTTGCTAGAGCATGTGGTGGCGCGAATAACTTGATGCTATATAACATGGTTCATTGTGTGAATACTGCGATGAAAGTGTCAATGTTGTCTGGATTTAGGCTGATGCGATCGAATCTTGGCCAAGTGGATGGGCTGGTGCATGTTGTGCAATCTATGAAGAATCGTTCAAAGACAGGAGAACGGGAAGAATGGGGTACGATCAGGTTCTAGGACAATTTTTAATTTTCTCAAATGCGGGAAGGTGGGGTACGTTTCTGCGGGTTATCCGTTCAAGGCTGAGCTAAAACGGGCGACATGATCGTGCGTTGACGGGCTGAGCACAGCATCTTAAACTGGATGCTGGATAGCATATCAAGCTGATATCTCGTGAACGACCTAGCATACTAAAAGATGTCGAAGACTACAACAGAATTATGTTGTCGCCGACGAAGGAGCGATAAAGGCAGCGTGCTGTAAATTCCATTGGCGCCGTCAAGAATCGACTGCGACTGTCGGGCTTATTCGGACAACAAAAAGTCAATGAAATTGAGCTTTCGTGTGTCGCGCATGCTGAGAATCTTGGCTAGGAAGAACAGAGGACCAGTGGTGTTCAATGTGCACTGGGTCATATTGTGTTCGTGTTGCTTCTGACAAGACTAAGAAAAACGTCTTGTCAGAAAAAAATGTGCGGTGGGAATAAACGTTTATCGAGGTCTCGAAGATTGGCGCATATTCATTATACGATGCGATCATCAAAATGGCCTGGGACCCCGGCATCGGGGAATATGGTCACGGACCAAGTATCAGCGTCGAGAAATGTGCAGACTCCAACTCAATTTGTGAGAAGACGCGGCGGAAAATGCGACCTTCACACTGAATCAAAGTCTCACGAAAGTGATTCCAGGAAGTAAGTTGCCATTGCAGATGTTTACGGAGAGCGTTTTGAACCTCCGACAATTTGTAGTGTTGGTCGCCGTGCACGATGCATGTTGATGCTCGAAGCAAGTCACCGGGTCAAAGGTGCCAAAAGAAATAGTGGTGATAGCTGCCCAACGTGGTCGATAAATCATATGAAATTGATGAAAGCTGCCTTTCGGCGGTACCATCAGTACCCTCACCTTCTACTCCTTCAATACAGCTGATTATTTCCGCATCGCCCAGTTCGCTTTTGTATTAGCTTGCTAGTCATAGTTTTTCTACAGTTTGTTGGGCTCAGCTCCTGACTGCTCGTCATCATGTCCGTACCAAAGTTTTGTTTTTACTCGTTCGATCCTGCGTGTTGACCCGCCAGTCCAATGTGGATCTCTTACCCAGTGCTCCCCCTTGTTTTGTTTCATATTCTTGTCTTTGTTTTCGATCTTGACAAGTTGTTTCCAGCAATCGATACATCCGTGTCCGATGCTAGTTCTCAGCCTCTCCATTTTCATCGTCAACGCAGATAAGGCGAATTTTATGGAATACGCTGAGTAGGTATGTTATGGAGCAAGTTTCTGCTTTACACAGAGCATTATGGAGTGTCAACGAGAAGACTTAACTTTCAAGGGCGTTCAAGGGGATGTCCTGCTCGTACCATCGTCGAGCTTGACTCAATGGAAGCTCTCACAAAAGTAAAAAGCAATGTCGACATAATGAATTTTTAGGGCATGCATGTCGAGCTGAAGAGGGATTTTGAACCACAAGAAACTGGACAAGCTTATCAGTATGGGCAATATATTTACCAAAGCGGTGAGGTCATAAAAGCGAGCGCGATGATGATGAAGACAGCATGGAATTACCCTCTCTAAAGGATATAAAGGTGAGCCAACAAATTATTTTTTGGAAGTAGGTTCCTATAATAGCTAGATCCCGCGGCCGGATATCATCTTTGCGTTACACAAGGCAGCTAGAAAGATCTATCAGCTAACGATGAGCGACTGGAAACAAGCAAAGAGGCTTCGTGATAGTTATAGACATGCTGCTGAGCGGGAGATTTGAAAACTCATGCAGCTGAAGCGTGGCAACTACCTACAAATCGTATATCAATGGATGGCTGCGCTGTGCAATGGATGTGCAAGAAGTATAGCTGTCTACTGCAGTAGTCTGTGTTCTCGGGATGAGACGGAAAGCTTACGATCGCATTTTGCGGTCTCTAAGTATATTTATGACGAATGTTTTAAGCTGAGGTCCTTAATCTTTGATTCCTTGCTGACAAGTAATGACTCTCGTGTGCCGAGCCAGAGTCTGTCGATTGAAAGATTGCAGGTCTCAAGTAGAAGGATAATACCTTGATATTGTTTAGTATCGTCCACATTTGTCATGAAGAAACAATAATGCTGAGTCGGCGCTATCGTGAAACACACATACGCTGTAGTGTAAAGTTCTATGGGATTGTGATGCTAAATTTTGATCACATGTAAACGAGTAATCCATAGTACTTTAAATCTCAGATCATTTACAATGCTGAAATTATCATTGTACTTAGAAAATCAAATCACCGACATGACATTCATGTACTGAACTGGTAAAGGTAATAATCATGTAGGAGCTGATCGCGTCACGGCAGGCATTTGTTCGTTTTGAAGATACTTGCATAGCATAAAGTGCGAGGTGTGGAACGGCTAAAATCAAAGACTCGATGATTATTTCTTTGCCTTAAAAGAATGCGTCAAAATGACTTAGTCCAATATTGTGTGCGCCACGCGTTACTGAGTCTAATTAAAGAGATTGTGTGACGTCATGTATGCTTGCTTCAATGCGAAGTACCGAGCGGATTGGCGCGACCCCCGGTGCCACTTCTTTTCGACGCAAACGCCAATTTCAAAACAGGTTGTGCTGCAGAGCTGCATGTTCGGCTGTAATTTCCTATATGTCCTCAACCATGTTGATGGTATTATCACCAACTATACAGACGAATGATTGCGATTATTCTCTTACTCGAATGAATACTCTGACCGAGACGCTACAGTGGTGGTTGGTAATGCCGCACTGTGTACTGTGAATCAGTGATGCAACCCCACCTGGTAGCAAAGCTGTCCGTGCCACATCATGACGATGCGCAAACCTATTTTGACAGTATATTTGGTTGAGCGTTGTAGAGAACAAAGGTGTCGAGTTAAGGAACTAACACTAAATCCTTGCGAGCAAGCCAACAGAATTAAAATAAATAAGTCTTTGACGCCGCCGAGATTCCCTTTCTGCATTCATCAGATTTTATTGCCTGCGAGCAGATCTCAAGAAAACTGAGAACATAGTAGGGTTGCTAGTGCCTATGTCCTAAATCGGGTTGGGAATATCGCCTGTCACGACTTACTACTTAAAAAGGATCGCTACTTTCACGTTTACATGACTCGACTTCTCATTGCCTTTTGTAAAGATGGCATATGTTGGCGGTGGAAGGGGTGACCGTCAAGTCGTAAATAATACCTCATGAGTGCCCCAAATAAGAATCAGCCGCTAAATGACGTCTAGTAAGCTTCAGTATTTGCTGACGCTTCTAAATTCGCTCAATCAAGTTGCTCGAGCCTACGTGATAACATAAATTGTTTACGATTCGTAAATCAATTGAACTTGATCATTAAAGCTACAGTTATCGTTATCTTTGCCTAGTATTCGTTTGCAGTAGAGTTATGGTCGGATCGTCCAATTGATATGACTGCGCTTACGCTTTCGCGTTTGTCGCGGCGTACAGCGACGACGTCACCACACACTCGCATAGATCGACAGTATACTTAACCTCTTGGGTCAAACATATTTTTTGCTTTTCATGTGATGGTGCTTGTATTTTCACGTCACACGTGTCGCCACGCATTGATGAGCCAATAATTAAGTGTGAGGCTGACATGCAGTTTTAACTGCACTTTCAAGAAATTCAAAGCAAGCGAAGTTTCACAGCTGAATTGATTTGCTTGAGCCACAGCGGCGGCTCAATAGGGCAATATATGCTGTGTTTAGCTCGTACGTCTTGCGCATTATCTCGTTGATGCGCGTGGATATAATAAACTTGGACAACGCGGAGCCTTGTACTTTTGCTTAGACATTAACGAAGCAAACAGAAAAACAAACAATTTTGCCGCTCTTTGACAGAGGTGTGGAGAAAGTGTTGCAGCATATACTGGGAAATGCATTGTATGCTATCGAGAAAAGAAGAAATGCTTGGGTATTAATAAGCAGCCATGTTTACTCTTAATCTGGCGAGGCTCAGGCAAAAAGATACTATCATGTATATAGACATCTGTCAAGGAATAGTTCAGATGACGGCAAAGACAGAAGCGTTATAGACGATGAAAATCAACGACTCGGGCTCGAAAAGACTAGAACTGAAGTCACAATTAGGCTTGTCTCAACAGAGCTGAAATGCGTCTTGAGACGCACCCTAGCATTATATGATATCTTTTGTCGTGAGATTGGTTTCGGGCCGTGCCATGTCGGTGTAATTTAATCTTCTCTGTGTAATTAGTTAAGCCATTCAGTGGGTTGGCATTAGGGTAATGGTTCTGACCCTTTCACAATCACCTTGATATCCAAAAATGTCGCAGGCCATGCATCCTGATGAAGCATTCGCGATTATACTTTGTCGGCGCCAAAGACACACTTGCTCAAATGCATACTCGCGAGCATAGCCCGCAAGTGTTAGAGACAAATGCTCACATCCAGCGTTTCCTACTCTGCATTAGAACAAACGAGGTCATTATCGAAATGGGTTTATTAGTATGCACAGTTTGGCTAAGTCAGATAAGATTTCATGCTGCTAGGGGTGTTATATGGCCTCTGTGGCATGAACTATTGCTCAAGAGCATTCAGCACCGTGGTGGAAGAAGAAACAACTGACAAAAGTATATTAATGATAACACCCGTGGACCAGGTCAAGCCCACAGTACTAGACACAGCCGAATATAACTCCTTTGATATCCAGTAAAAGTGTACGCTAGATTAGTGGCTTGAATTATTATTACATAAGCATGCACGAATCGCCTCTTGCTTCTAGATTTCGGGCGCACATAGACGACGCCGAGATAGATGACTCATTTATTGAATCCACTTCATGAATGGAACTATAAGGTCACACTGTTCCTCAAATCAAAGCCTTGTCATCAAGGCATAGTGACCCTTCAAAACAACAAGTGGTAAGAGCAAGATCCTTGATGATAGCTGTCTCGCCCTTCGTGCAAATGCCCTACTAACGTGTCCAAGGACGGAATTCTTCGTGACATATGACAACTAAGCTGTAGTTTGGCACCAAATGTACCATTTAGATGACTTCCCTATCCCGATTCTCTGTTTGCACAAAATATGGGGGCGACGTTCAGGCTCACCGATAGCTTCTGCTTGAGGTAATGGGCAGGACTAACATCCCCTACGAAACCACGGTCTCTTCATTCACGAGGGAATAAACATTTCCCTTGGACCGTCTCTGCCTTGCATAATGGGTGCATCAAACTGAACTGGTGATTTGATAGTACCGTTACATCGCGACAAGGATCACATATATTTCTGGTATTTGCAGGGTTTGGTCCGTCTAATTGCGACTTACATACTTTTGCTTCCAGAGGGTTTCTCCCGAAAGATTGCGAACCGAAGACGCTATGGTTCTTCTCAACGGGATCAATCCCTAAACGACCGCGACACACAGTCGCTCTTTTCCGTCCCATTCACCTTTATGATGATCAGATTACACTTGTATAGACCCGTCTGAATTAAAAATACACTATAGTGACCGCGATTTGCCGACCCTTTTGCCTTCCGCTCCTAGATCAAGGTGTTACAGCAAGGCTTGAGATAAGTTTGGTGATGCAGGTTTAAAGCAGAATGCTACAACAAAGCGACAATAAAGTGTTCGAGCTCATTGGCTTTCTGAGCGTACATGATGCGTCGAATCTTAAAATCCATGTGTGTATTTACGTTTCGCCTAGTTGATGCACGACACCACCATTATGACATGTCCGAGTGATTGCATTTGAGTCTCGCCACCTTAAACAGTAAAATAGAATAGCTTTGTTCGACGTTGTACTGATGTATTGCCTTGCAAGTTAAAAATCAAGTGCTTGGCTCAAGCCGCTGAAATCTATATGAATCATGCGTTCATTGCGCACAGCGACGTCGTCACCACATCTATCGCACAAAATTGCAAGATGGATACCCTTTTTCCTCATGTATATCGTCGAGATAAGGAATAAGTTATGTCAGCATAATGTGGTCTTATGTGCGCTCTTCCGTTGCCCCCACTATAAATAGTAACATGTAGGAGAAGTAATTGATGATCCGATATATGCAGTGTGCTTGTCAGACGCTGGTGCACATAAGTATGAATTTGTGGGGTTAAAATTGCTCTCAAATCCAGTAAAACAGCGCAGTTTTCCTCTCAGTCTGAGCGGATGATCTGCAAGGAAATGTAAGGATTGTACATCAGCACGGTAAGCAGATTCAAGTGGCTGAAATAACATTAGAACCTGCAATTGAGCAAGCGTGACCACCGAGGGATGGATCAAGCTTATCGTTGTAAGGGCCTTCACAATATCATGAATTCTAAAGAGGGTGGCTCGGCACTTATCGCCGTCGTAAAGGATAACGATTTTTGAGACTGATGCAGGGGCGGAAAAGCGCAGTTAATGCCTTCCTCTCAATAAAACACCTACTCTGGGTGGGGGCAGTATCATTCCTTAAAGCCTTGGAGAAATATTGACCATTTATAGAAGTCTACCTTGATCTTTCCACTCAGAATTGGTGATAAATATCAGTTGCGAGGACAGCATCTTACAATAGGCAGATTGAGCTACTTTGTGAAGGAGTAGGCACGGAAAAGTGCTTAGGGTAGATATAGACTCTAATCACAGTGATTGATATAATGAACGCTCACATTTGCGCAGCGTGGTCAAGAAAGTATCAAGAATGTGAGCTCCAGTATAGTTAGTATCTTAGCGGAGTAATGTGTAAATTTGGTGTTTTTGTGTATTTACAAAATTCATTTGTACCTTTGTGTAACAACAAATATTCGGAAGTACTGGGGTGTCGGTATTTGTGAAGATGATCAAATTTCGCAAATAAGGGGTCGTGTCTGGTAAGATACAGTTATATTCTATATATTGATTTAAATAGCTTGAAATGTCAAACAATATTAAGCAGAAATTACTGAAAGATGATCGGTTCCGCTCTGGGTCAACGGTGGGTCTGCTTACGCTAATTCTCCGATCCAGAGCTTCCACAGCGTAAGGTGTACTAAACGCCGGTGCACATTGCAGCGCTTGCAGTAAATCCTTCAGCTGGGATGTAAAAAGATGATTCTTTGCTAGGACTGCATAATGTCGTGTAGGGTACAATGTGATACGCATATATACCTCTTGATCTCGAACGAATCACAGAACTAGCAATTTAAAGGCAAAATAGGTCATTGCTCCTAGATGCATGGGCTCCATCTCCAGTCAATACCTAACCGAGAGCTAGTGAGTGCTCGCCTGGATGTCGCCCAATGAGTATACTACAGTATTGCATCCAGCCTTCAATGGCTGAGTCGTTTTTTCTAAACCAGAGAAGTTAGGATGGCCAAAATCTTGGCCATCTCATCTCTCCATAGACTAGTCTATCCATTCACGAGTAGATCTAAAGGTTATGTATCTTGTATACTGACTCAGCTGAACTATCAAAAACTTCAAATGAACGGTATTCGTGTCATCACGTTTAAAGCCTAAAAAACTATCAAAACTTTCAAAACAACACAATAACTAGCAGTGACAAAAACTTTATATACATGAAACAAAGTAGCAGTATTGACGCTATTAAAACACTGAAATGTTCCCTCCTGGTGTACGTTTACCATTCCGTCTTTGACTCATGCCAAGCATAATAGACGATCGTTGACGACTGAGCACACGATTCCCACGTGTTGAATAATGAGCATTCAAAATCACTTCTTGTTCATCATTTTCATCATGCATGACAAAAAATTCCGATACATTTTTATCATTCTGAAACGGATCAAACCCAGCAGCAGATGATGTACCAAACATGGCAACACGTGATGGTGGTGGTGGCATTGGCAATCGTTCATGTCGAAATGCTTCAGCTAGACGATCATAATCAACTGAATGATGATTTACAACATTTCGTCCAAAAGCTAAACGACGACCATCAAGACGCATATCATTGAGATCTTGATGATCTCCACGTAAGAAATACGAAGCAGTACTGAATTCACTGGTTGTACTGATTTCATTTGATAATGATTCAGCTAATTTCTGTTCAAGTAAAGCCATTCGTGTCGTAATGTTTGCAAGAGCAATTGAAGGTTGAATGACTAAAACACCAAGAGCTTTCATCTCTTTACTAAACTTGGAATCTGGCACCATTGCAATCATTCGAGGATGAGATGTACCCATTAAGGATTTGAGCATTTGAATGTTCTCACGTGTACGATTCGCATCGCCTGTAAAGATCAAAACATCAGCAGATGACATAGCTTGAGCTCCATCCCGATCTTTTAAGGTATTTCGATACGAAATGAGATCGCGTCGTTGTAAAATTGTGTCGTTCATTTTTCGCCACTGATTTGTACGCACTTCATCTAATAGTGGGACATTTACTTGAGCTCCGTACAATGACAAGCCAAGTGCTACTTCAAATGCCACTTCATCATCACCAATAACCACTGCATTTTTAACCTTAAAAAGGTCTCCATTCATTGTACGACCAGCATCAAATTGACTTGGACGAGCACCATGCACGGTACTAAATCGATTGCCAAGCATACTTTGAGCATATCCACCGTGATGACTTTGACCCAATCCTCCTTTATCCATATTATCCACTTCTCCTTTCAAAACCGTTTCTGTACTCACAAGTCGATCTTGCAAGGTTTCTCCAGCATGACTCAGACCCATAGCACATAATACAGGACCAATAATCTGATTCACAACAACTGCTGCCACAATAGTTGCAGAAAATTCCGCAGCCCAGGATTCATCACTCATTGCTTGAACTTCATTGGCTAATCCAAGTGCCACACCAGCTTGTGGCGTCATTGTAAGCCACAAATTATTGTATTGTTGAGGAGTAAGTTTTAAAATATAGCGACCACCAAAGTAACAAGCAATAAAGATTGCAATATACCGTAAAATCACATATAAACTCATAAGAGGAATTGCGGCCACAACTTGGTCCAATTTAAGTGCTGCACCCGTCATGACAAAAAAGGGTAAAAAGAAATATGGAGCTGCTGTATCCAAAATCACATGCATTTCATGACGAATTCCAGTGTGATGTCCAGCAATACACGAGGCAATCATGAGAACTAATAAAGCTTCAAACTTGATCTCCCACGATAATCCAAATGCTGCAGCAGTCGCTTCAGCAACTAATGAACTGGAGATATAAAACATATAACCCATTGATAACCAAATAAAACCCTTTAAGGCTAAAACTTTTGATGGGGTTAAACAACATGTTTCAGGAGGGGTGTCATGTTCAGTCAGTACCAATTTTTCGGTCGACTTTTCTTCACAATAAACTTCTGTCTCTTCATGTTCCTCATGATGATCACCACCGGGAATTTTAAAGATAAGTAACGTCACACCAGCAAGTAGAATACCAACTAATACATTCGATGCAACGATTGACATCGTATACGCAAGATTGAGCATTGAAACATTTAATTTCGCACAATAAATGGACGTCACAATTCGTGAAATGGAAAACGAAATGAGTACAATAAATTCTGCTGTCATTGTTGCTCCAAGCATTAAACTTGTGAATGGTCCCACACTATTAAGTTCAATTTTAATTGCCATGACTGTTGCGGGAGATCCCAGAACTGAAATTGAACCAAACATCAACGCAATACCCAATTGACATATTGAGCCCATATCTTTGTAAAAAAAAGCTTCTTCCATTAATAAAATACCAGCAGATAGAATGATCATTGCCGTAATGTATAAGACTCCAAGTAGAATCATAATGGATTTTAATTGTGGTCGAAGTTCCGGAAGATAAATTTCTTGACCTGCTTGAAACGAAATAAATGACAGAGCTAAAGCACTGACATAACTTGATAAAAGCTTCACAAGTTCCGTTGGTAAGAGATTCGTCACAAATGGACCAGCAATGACACCAATAACAAGATATCCCGTAATAAGTGGAAGTTTAAAAAACTTTGGAAAAAAGAGACCAAGTGGATGCGCAGCAACAAGTACAATCATAAATGCAAGAACATATTGCAAAGTGTCGAGACTGTTACTCCATGAATTAAATGGGACAGATTTGTTCTTGTCACCACCTCCACCACTTAATCGACGAGTGAATTGATTGTCTTCTGAACTTGGTCGAAATGTCGAATGTCCTGATGTGAGAACTAGTGAAAGAATACACAAGAGAAATATTTCATACGTGCTTCGTAAACGTTTGAAAAAGACGTGAGGAATCATCTTTGGAGTTTTCTTCACGAGGTTGCCAAGGAGAAAATAGTAGAATGAACAACTTTTGTGGTAGCATGGAAATGCATGTAATGGTGAGCCCCGTGATTAAAGGATTGAAGTCGGGCTAAGTGACTTACCAGGTGGTTTAAACGGCAAAGACGACAGTAAAGTGACACAGAGTATAAGCGACGTCCTTTTCTCCTATTTCTTACCACATGGAAGTATCAACATATGGACAATGATTAAGCGATACTTGTGGTCAATATTTCACCACAAGTATTGGCAGTTAAGCAAAGTTTTCTCTGAAGAGGATTCGTTTCAAGTGAAGTATGAAAGCGAAATCAGTTTAAGAACTGAACTTATAGATCTTGAAAAAACTTTACGTAGAAAGAAATTGGGATTGTAAAAGGGAGGCGCTTGAGTGTATGTATGTAGAGGTGAAGCAAACAATTGCTCACGTTTAAAGGGTAAGTCACATATGATGTCGAGCAAATCTTCATGCGACAAGTTATCGATTCTGGCAAAAGCTAAAACAAGTCTCTTCTTGTGAATCCAAGAAGCTTTGAGGGGATCAATAGAGCGCGTAGAATTCATACCTTGTTAGAATTTGAAAGAGAAATCAGAGCTGTACGTAAACACATTCCTGATTTATTGTCGAGGGCTATGAAGTAGGTGCATTAACGATGGCGTTATAGTTTAACTGTGTTCTCGTTCCGTTGAAAGAAGTAGCTATGCGGGAATTAGCGTTACTTTCTAGTTACATGAATCAGGTTTAGAAATCAGGACGCTAGGATGTAAGCCATTGTCTTTTCTGCAAAACTTGACAGATAATGGCAATAGGATTTATAAAGAAATGTACGATGTACGAACGTTCGAAGTTCAGACAGTGCAATTTCAGTTTATAGAAATGACCGTCTGATTCTATCATGGACCTCATGTCCCCCGAGATAATAACACGAATATATTTACTTGTAACTTTTACTACATGTATTTTTGTAAGAGTAGAGGAAACATTTTGACTTTGCTTCTGATTGGAGCGACCTCTATGCGGTTGGAGTTTATATTGATTTCTGTGCAGCTTGTATGACAACCCCGTTATACTTTAGTCAATCTTACGACCAAGATAAAAGGATTATGAGGAATGCACATGAGGTGTTTAAGTATCTGTCCCGAGACGTAAAGACAAGCTTCGTGATCTTATGTATGTCCTGATCCTGACGAGAGCAAGAATTTGGCGGCTAAAATGTCAAATTGTTCACTTGGATGTTTCATCAGCTATGGAAAAGTGGTAGCGAGACAAAATCGATTGCCGGTGAATACTATCCAATGTGAAACCGCCAGATTTCAAACGTCTAGACTTTTGAGTACTGGGACGAAATCATGTGAACGAGGAAAGTTGAGATGGCCATGAATCACCAGTGCCTACAACGAATCAACAGCGTGTCACTTGCGATCTCAAAGATATATTCGAGCGCAAGAATAGGCATTAAGCTGCAAAATCGCTATAATCAGCGCTTCTATCATTAAGAAACTTGAAGCTGTAGATGTCGCTCGTGCTCGCACCAACTAGCCAGGCAAATAGGGTGCGCTCGAAGCTCTTCCCGCCCTTTAAAGACGGCAATAATTAGGAATCTATATTGATGAGTTAGAAACTCTTACCGCCGCAATGGCATTATATTCTCTCCCCGGGTGGTCATGGTTACCATCTTCAAGAAGGGCCACCGAATTGGTATGACCTGTACCGAGACCATATGCGTTCTGCTTATCTCCGTCAAGAAAGCGGCGAATGTTTTGTTAAAGTGGGGTAGAAAGAACCTCGTAACCGCGACGGTAGGGATCCTCAAGGTCGAAGCCCAACGAGCGCTCTAGAGGCGATGGACCTCAGCCATATTTTAGAGGGAAATAAACATTTCTTCGATACTGGGCAGCGTGCAGTTTGGACCTATATACGTGCGATGATTACATCTTAGGTAGGCGTGGTGGAGTGCCACGGGTCATGGATCGACTATAAGTTTTAATTATAATATCCCCCGCTCTTTTCAATTTTTTTAATGGGGGAGCATGATTCCATCTCGGTCATATATTAGAAGCGGTTTCTGTTTGGGCACATAATTGTGGCGGCTTTATTTAATGCGGCAGTCATGAGAAATTATCGAAAATTGTTAGCCGTATTATCTCTATGTGTCTCAAGTAGAGCTCAGAAGGCGGAATCAGCAGTGAGTCGAAGTCTTAGGATGAGTCTGGAAGTACGACAGTATGCCTTAGTCCCCAGAGCGTGATAAAAAAGTTGCGAGCTGTTGTCGCCTGCGGCACGGATCAAAGAGACCGAAAGAGACTGGGTTTCACCATTCTTGCAACCCCTGCGCCCACCCCCACGAATGCTTTCTCTCGCTTTAGAAGAGATTTGCCACAGGCACGGAATGTAAAGTTTACACCTTCAGATCTGCATCGGTCAACTCGTTCTTTAGTGAAGATTCTGTCTCGCCACAATCCCCTGCAGTTTCACTGCTCCGTACTGCGAGCTTGTCACACGGAAGCGCTGACTCGGTAGTACTGTTTGATGTGACAAGGATGAATCACGTTTCTCATCTTACGGGTTGGTCCTTTTATTTACGTCTCACAGACTGATGTCGCCAAATTGGTACGGTCAGTAGTCGTTCTCAACTCTTAACGCGGATCAAATATCATTGTAGATACTTGCATAGCACTGAGTGCGATGTGTCAGATCGAAGTAACATCAAAGCGTAGTGACGAGAGACGTATACCACATTTTAATTTCGAGAGGAAAAGTGCGTCATGTAGATAAACTAGCTCTTGGAACCAAAGATTTTTCACACGGCAGCGGTGCTTTCCAAGGGGCATGTGTAACGTAATCGGTGCTTTCTTCTTTGCAAAATTAACAAGCTAGCACGTGGACTCCTTTTTGAAAGGCTTCATAATTTTCGTAAAACCGCTATTCAGCAACAAAGTACATGTGATATCTGACACATAAGCTGTACATATCGCCTCATCAACCGGCAACTTTACCATCGTGAGAAGTGACATAACATCGTCGGGGTGACGCGAAAGAGCATCAGCCGCCACAGTAGGTTTACGCGACTTATACGATACCACGAAAGTATTTTCAACAGAAAAACTTGCGCGAGATGTGATAATTGGTATTTGTTCGAAGTAAAGCATAGCTTGTCGTAAAGGCTGAAGCATCACAGACAACATGACAGGCCGACGTATTGGTAAGAGCCAGACTAGAGGAGTGCATGAGGCTATATTCTTTCTATTCTTGAATGCCGCCTCTTCCACCGCAACCCAGCACATGCGATTTACTTCTGTAAGTAGCTGGCCACGTCAAGCTACTTATTTATATCCCATCACTACGAATGCACCAGCCAATATACAATGATCTTTATTTTTGAGGAATCTTCCCGCAGCCATAGTTTTCGATTAAGCAGCTTGATAGGAATATTTTGTCAGGCCATCCATATACACGCTTGTTACGTTGGGAAAATAACTTATTTAAGCGCATACAGTCAAGGACTGCTATTCGGTCTTCCACATGGTTCTTCATGTCAGGATTCTCGTTATCTGCATATTATGAGCGAATATATTGCCAAAACAAGTGTATGTACAGCCACGACGTGGTGCGAATAGCAGCAGCACTAGACGAGTGATCGTCGCAGACTAAATATTCCCTGTGGCATAACCAGCCGCTCTCTGGACATCCTGCTTAAAGCACTCGCGGCAGTGAGTGAGGTAACGCTATCTATCATCAGCAGTTGATGAAGCCATCAACCGAGTCAAGATCACCGAGCAAAGTACAGCTGACCGTACAGCTATACAGCACACATTTCCTAGGAATCGCACCAGAATCACGGCTGCATTTGATTGATATAAGCATGCACAATTTGTAGCCTGCCGTTCGACTTTCTGACACAGAATGTCGACTCCGAGCAGTAACATTTACCACTCATTCTGATTGTACGCCAGGATAGAAATGCCGCTGTATGATGAGATATAGCGGAAAATATACGTGTAGGTAGGTATAAACTCTAAGTAAATATGTCCACTTGAAATTACTCAGCTATTAGTCACCTAGTGACGGTACTTCCGCGACTGGTAGAAGCGCGTGAACTCAGCTTCTGTACATTTGCTAGCGCAAACTGTTAAGATTTTTCCCTTTGCAAGTGCGCGGTAACCCCGCTGCATAGACATAATCGTCTAACTCTAGGCATCCCCTATTGCAAGACGCCATAGAGAGCCACTCAAGGTCATTGCGGTATATCGGAAGTATCGGAATACGATTACTTAGTCTCTTATAAGCATCCTATGCTTCTCATAAGTTGCTTTGTAGCTGGCAGACTAAAGTAAGTCACAAATTCGCGCAATTGGCATCGCAAGTATGTGTCGAGACACTGTGAAAGGTGTTCATGATTCGTTCTGTTAAGCAAGTACGTGTGACAATCGAAGAGTCTAATTCACAGATCTTGTGAGCTGTAAATCTTCATTTTTAAATCTGTGACAACACATTTCTATGATGTTTTTTACTTCTTTCCCTCCATTCTTTTCTTTGTTGCCATCACCGCCTCTTGAATCTCGACAAGTAATGCGTACGATGTCATCACCACAAAAAAATATGAAGAATTATAGTGCTAGTATCGAATATAAATACAATTTTTTCAAGTAAAAGACGTAAATTTTAAGTTACTCCAAAAGCAAAATTTCAAGTATTGTCAATTTGTATTTTTAACATTACCCCATTTTTGAATGACGTGTCACCTAATTCTTGTTTTCATCTGCAATCTTGCACACTTCAATGGCTCAGAACACTACTAGTCCTTTGTGGAAAACATTATGCAGTTAGAGCGTTAGTGACATTCACCGGACAAGCTCTATATCGGGAATTTACGAACGATCTTCCAGTTTAAGCACCTTCTCGGGTTCTTTCGTCTGTTGATTCATGACTGCATTCAAAAGAGGAAGAAGATAACCTTCATCTTCTACTTCCACCACTGACAAATGACTCAAATCGTAATCAATCGGGTCCTTGATGAGTAGTTGGTAAAGCTGACGGGTCACAAACGTTTTGTCCCAACGGCGAACCAATTCAGAAAGAAGCAACTCTTGGGGTTTCTCCACAAACTGTGACACAATTTCATACCATTTTTTCACAGGTTTGCTCGACAGAAAGCTATCAACGTTCTGAAATATGTTGTCAATCCTCGCTATCGAATCTTTCGCCCACTTTACCCAACTTTCGTCAACTTGCTTTGCGAAGAAAAGTATCTCCCCCACAACATCACTTGATGAATCGAATGATTTCGAAATGGCAAGGTATCGACGGGTGATGCCTTTATTAAGCAGCGTAGTCATTAGCAGCTCAATCGCGTCGTGTCTTTCCTCGATATTCTTAGAGATAAACCATCTCATCAACGTCGATCGTTGGGACTTAGCGATAACGGGATCTTGATCCTTATGAATCCATTGATCAAGCAACACCGCGTCAAATCGCTGACGAATCGCTAAAGTGTCTTTACGTTTTGTTGGATTGTTTGACGACCCGTCGCCTTTATCTGCAAGAAGTTCATTCCGAACCTTTTCGGTAGGACAAATCTTTTCATTAAGAACGGATAGCATAATCTCGTCTTTTGTTGGCGAATCCTCAATGCTTTTATCCCAATTTCGAAATTGCTCACTTTCAAAAAAGTTTGATCTCAATCCAACCTTAAAATCGTCGAAAAGATCGCTTGCACTTTTTTTAAGGTCGTTTGTAACAGCCACGAGGCCTTCTTGAATCTTTGCGGCTTCTTGACGCGCTACCATTGCAACGTCTTGACGCACAAATAATGGAGCGTGTTCGAGAATCACTTCAATCACAGCTTTCTCTGCTTCAGTGTAAGTCGAACTTTCTTCCGTAACGTTCAGAATTGCTGTTCCATTTGGCAGAGTATGATTGTCTTGTTCCGTCAATGCCAAAGAGTGTGTTCGTGCTTTTTGATCGAGATGAGTGACTGCTTCCACAGTAAAAGACCCAGTGTCTAATAGCACAGCCAACGCCCCAAACCAAATGAATCTGCTCATATTCGAAAGAAACTTTGAATTGCACTGGAACCAAGAAATCGTAAATGAGGTCTATTTACGATCATTCATATCAGGACATATGCTATGTTCAGACGATTGTTCTATGGATATTCATTGAACTGATCGGGAACTATACCGTATGTTAAGATTGAAACATAGATACGCATGAGGTCATCAATTGGCTTCAGGATATTGCATCATCTGATTCGCAAAGAAAAGGTTGTTCCATGTGGTTGTATGACTCGAATTCTATATAGAAAGACAAGATCAGTTCATGTAACGTATCGATACTTGAAATTTACCTGCTATAAGCTAATTGAATGATTTGAGGAAGATGACGACATCTGAAGCTTTTTTCCTTAAATAACACATTACCTTAATGATCATCTCAACCGGCTTAGTCCTGTTAGCCTTCAAGATTTGGTTCTATATACAGGTCTTTACAACATCTTGCGCCAGACTTGAGATTTTTGTTAAACCACGTAGACTTTTTGTTTATTACACAAACTTGCAATGTTAATTTTATAATGTATTTTACCAATTGTGTAAGGTGTACAACACAAATTTACGATATTATACTGGCATGTGGACCACACGTGTCTTACCTCATTTTTGTCATGAAAATCAAACTGCGTTAAAATGACAGCTCCATGAGCAGCCAGCCTCGTGTCACTCGGGAGCAAAGTCAAGTGCAATCCTGTATCTGCTCCTCAGAACAGTATTGCACTTGACTTCGCTTCCGAGTGTAGCTGGGCTGATATCGTCAAGTCAGCCAGTGTCGACAGCCCTCGCTCACTAACTCAAAGATATTCCTTGGCGGTGCCAAGAGAAATGCAGAGTTGACCATACTATGTCCAGTCATAGGCATGTACTGCGTAAATCAGCCTCAACTCAGTGCTAAAATACTGCTTAGCATTGCGGTCTTTCTGAGAAAAAGCTTTCGAAGGTATCACTCGCAATACCATCAGTCTGCTCTGTCAGGCCATCGCCGTTAAGCGCGAATATCGATCCAGATCATTTATCACTAGCAAGCTTTGATAGCAAAAATCTTGCCTAAGGGTTAGCATGGATGTCTTTAAACTGTTACTGGCGAACAGACGGCAGCGATATGAGTCATCTTGCTTCTTCGGCGCACACAAAATACCATGTCGGCATTTACATGTGCCACTATAGTTTAACCCGACATCATCCAACTGCATTGCCAACTATTCTACTGGGTGGCGAAATACGCAAACGTATATTGCGAGAGTCTAATCTGCCGAAAGGTTTCGCACGTGAACATATGAGAAGTATTGTTCTCGCAGTGACGACCACAGCTCCGAATGAAGATTGCTCAGTTCCAAGCAGATGTATCCTGAATTGACAAGAGTATACTAGCAGGTAGCGCTATGTCATGAGCTGCATATATAATTCTCAGCCGTTTCAAGCCGGAAAAAATCAAATGCAATGACGTGATCAATCTCATTGGCACTACTTGAAGGTAAAAGCAGCCAATGATAAAATCAAAGCATCACAAAATAGCCCATCAGGACCGGAAAGGACCAAAACCGAAACGCGAAATAAACTAAATTCTAGGGGGTTTGATGCCGCACACTCAGCTTCACTTATCAAAAATTTGAGATCGTTCGAGGAGAACAGTTCGTTATCGTTGTGGTTTGCGTTATGATTATTCCAGAGCTGTCTAAGTCGCATTCAACATTCATCTTGGCATTGTGGCACCAAGCAGCGTACAGCCCGCGATATCCACTTGAAGACCATGTACCGATGCCAGATAAAAGATTTTGCCAGCTCCTGATGCACATTTTTCAATATTGGCCAAAAGCTTCGTTGATTTTGCACCGATCACAAACTTGTCATGTTATATTATCTACGATCGGTTTCTGTACTCTGCAAACTATGAATAAATTCATTGAAAGCGTATGCGCGGATGCGCGATTTGACATAATCAACTTGAAAATGTTTTAGTTGTGTAATACGGACTTTGGGGCATGATGATCCGCTTCAAAATTGTCCATCCCATAGTACACATCGGAGAAAGAGGGTTGTCAGAAATTCGCATTGGTAGCTAAAATATTCACTAACTTGGTGAAATGAATCGAATAACGTTCAACCGACCATACTATTTCACCAAGTTCATCCAAAAATTCAATGTCTGCGCCGATATACGGCTGAATTGAGCTAAGTATAATCATGCTCAGTTACCCACCCGCCGTTTAGTCGTTCTGACAAAGAAGACAGCGCCAGTTTAAGGTTTCACTCCATTACATAAATCTTACTTCGACGTTGGATGAAAGACAGCTTCTAAAACATCTTACTATCCTTAGTAGAATTGATTACATCTGACATAGTATTTGGATCGGGAATCAAGCCTACTTCATGACACACCACCCGATCCGAGGTATGTTGTGGTTCATTACCATCACGCTCTCCAAACGACTTCAAAAGTGTATTGAGGAGATTCGTAACATCCTTGCGAATAGCCTTTCAGCTCGATGCTACAGATGCTTCGCAAGGATTTTTAATATTTGACCGCTCCATAGCGAATAAAGTGCTTAGTTTCTCCTACGAAGTCACGTATCCTCATGATCAAATCTATCGTAAAGCATTTCATAGCACTCATCTTTCAGAAATAGTTTTGAAGCTCTGTAAACTCATCTTTGGAGAAAACGACTTAAGCTCTGAGCACTCATTTTCACATAAATGCTTTGAAGGTCGATCAAAGCTCGGGATGGGGTAATGAGAGAAGAACTTTTCTCCTAGGACTGCCTTGGTCATGCCATTTAAAAGTATATAAATGGTTTACGTCATAAAAGCAATTAGCTATACTGCACCAAACGTTGAATTTGTCGCGGAACATTACATCGTAAGCCATCCTTACTTTTGTCGTGGCCAGGCTCGTTTACTCATGTTCTATAACCGCCAATAGTAGCATTTACATCCTATACGGATATAACCTGAAGACTACAAAATTTTGTGGGTCAGCTTTTAGCTATACACTTTGGAGACAGCCAAATATTGTTGCGAGCTTCTCATGTTGTAGACAAACGCTCAGACTGTAATGTATGGTTTCAAAGTCCGCTTTCATCTTGAATGTGCTCACTGACACTTCTGCCTTTTAATTCAGCGATAAGCAATACCATTACTATTTGATTTGAGCGATCATGTGCAAAATAATTTAGCTAACCTCATGCTATAGATTGAAGACATAGCAGCTCTTAACTCATGCCAAGAGTACCTATCTCCAAGATTCGACAACGCGGGGTTCGCGAGCCTCACCTCGTAATCTGCTCCTTTAAGTTGACTTCACATTGACTTCGACCACCACTACATACACTAAAGCAAATTTGATTTCGAGTAGGTCGCCCTAAGCATACTGATACTCAACGTTCACTCAAGTAGATCGTTGATCTTCCTACGTGCGAGATCGACACTCAAATTGTGCGAGATTGCAACTCATAGGGCAAAATGATTTGCTACTGTCGCAGATGTAATATTTGTGAATACTACGGTGCTGCACAACAGCTAGAAAATTGCCTTTATCTTCTCTACCTAGCAGACGTGGCATGCTCAGCAGCCTTCTCATTCTCCCGCGGTTCAACCTTATCAAAATTATGATCTGAATCTAATGTACATCTCGACAGAGTTTGGGTAGACGTGGTACGTCTTGGTGGAGGGCACATATATCAGGGGATTTTCCATGAAGGGGTTCCTCAAGATTAGGCTTTATTTTTATCTGCGTCAGTTAGAGCTCTCAAGACTTTAATGTTTCCGTATCTTTTATCTCTCTTGACGGGTGGAATAGATTTTGACCACACACGATGAGGCAGTACGAGCATCTGCAACAAATGTCGCTTCAATATCTCAATATTAAAAAGTCTTTTCGAAAACTATATAGCTTTTAAGAGTTCATTGCCGCGCGTGATTACTAAGCTTTGGAACTGTCATTGCGACGACTAAATAACCTGTCAGCAACATGACCGAATAATGGCCATCTGACCCTCTCGTATTCACGAGAAAAAATGATTCGATTCTTCCATCAAAATGCTGAATGCTGAGCTCACGCTGCTCGCTGTGGGTGACAATTGTAGCCACTCATACGTCAATTTTGCAATGCGCGTATACGATAGCTCCTGATAAATGGTGTGTTATATGCTCATTGTGAAACTGGTGACCGTTTCCAGGTTAGCAATTACTACCTCCGATTCCTTACACGCCAAGCGTGTTGTGGTTCCAAGTTAAAAAAGCGCGTAACGCGTCTTGTTGTCCTAAAAAAAGAATCGTATACCCTACGCAAGGTGATACAGTCTTATTCGTCTCGATCTGTGAATGATAACAAGTGCCGCCAGGCGCAACAAGGCATCCATGCAAGACACTTTGAAACGTAGAGTCCACGTACCAATGTAGAGAGAATGAGCTTGTACACTCCATTCGGGAGCGAGACCAAGAACCTGTTAGATATCTACCTCAGCAATGTTTCTACGAGCATATCGTGTACAAGCTACCAGCAAATGACCTTGATGTGGTATGCTCTTTCACTGTCAAATGTAGCTTTTTGTAAGTAAAACGCCTGGTCGACATAACCTGTTGGTGTACGCGCGTCCGCATTGCCTCGCCATACGTCACCATGATGACACTGCGCGTTGGTGAAGCGTTACTTACAGAGTTCGAGCCAGATGCAACATGTGCTGCGTAATTAAAAGATTGAAATGCAAAGAGATTGCGAGCCAAGACGCCGATTTAATTGAAGGGCACGATCGCACGGCTGCCTCGTTAGCCTTTCTTCTAAGACCTGCAGTATGTCGGCGCTGACCCACCTGACACTCAACGTACTTTTGTCAAGATTCTCGAAAGCAGCGTGATAAAGAATGTATTCGGCAGACGATATCACCTCAGATGGACATATCAAATGAGGGAAGACATATAGCCTCGATAAGCGCTATGTATAAGTGACAGCAAATGTAAAAATGGGTAATAACTTATGTGTGCACGTGTGAAATGTGTCTCGATTAATGTCTCACCGCATTTTTAGTCACCTTTGAACAACTCGCTGGTTCTGGATGAGTGATGCCAGTTTGTAAGATGAACTTTAGGTTCATCTAAAATTCGCATTCCTTTAAACCCAAACGTTGTTCTTGGCGAGAAAAATGACTCATTTTGCTATCGTCAACGATTCGAAGCTGTTACTCGACAAGATTCTTCGCGATACTGGCTAACTTCTTCTCATTGTTTTAAGCCGGATCGCTTGCGCGGATTTTGATCCAAATGAACTTCGTTTGAGGCGCATAACACCAGACAGAAATATACACGAACACGTACATCTTCAAGCAGACGATCGAAGGACTGTGTGAATCGCATGGAATGGGGTATTCTTTAAGGAACAGGCACGGTGCTGGACCGAATTGCCGCCACTTTCAAGTTTGCAATAAATATTGCAGTACACGTCGATACAAGCCTTACCCCTTTCATTATCAATTAATTGGCTTAGACCATATTCCATTGATACCACAGCGATCTTGTTGGTTGAAGTGATTGTCAATTTGATTTGGTCAGACCAGGTTTGCACTGTCGCAAAGTCAGAAATTGTCTAAGTGAAATTAAGCATTATGCGCCAGGTCTGGAGTATTACGGCTGAGAACCAGGACATACACAAGCTAGATGCAGACGGGCAGAGGCAGATGAAGCTCATAGTGGGTAAATTGGCCGTACTAAACGCCGTTAGCCTACTTACAAATGGAGTAATTAAAGTCTATACCCTAACTCAATCCGTTCACGTTTGTGATCGGACAGGATTGAATGGTACTTTTATCTTTCGATCAAGAACGCTAACACAATCTGTGTTCTAATATCACACTACAATTCCGCGCTTACGCACGCTTCGTATATGACATGCTATACCGAAGTATTCTCTGTTCTAAGAAAACGGCGAGGTCTGAAGCTGCTTGGGGTCGTTCGGTGGCATAGCTGGGAGCTTCCGATACGTGGCAAGACGTCATAATAAGGCCTTAAAAAAAGTCCAGCAGAGGATAAGTCGTTCTCTGCCTGTACTGTTCGATGCTGGGCGATCCACTTTCATGTCGAGCAAACGGTGGACCGGCAGATTCATCAAAAGTATAACTTGTATATGTTGATAGAGGATAGAGACATTCTCTTTGGGAGTTTAGAGTCCCACTTCAGCGAAACTGACTTACAACTTTGCGCATCTTCAGCGCTAATCTCCGTAAAAAAAATACCAACATCGTAGAAACAACTCGCTTCCCACTAGCCAAGTGGGAGGCTTAGAAGTGATCTCATCCAAATTCTATATTTGACCACGAGCTATAAATTCAGGAAATGGAGATAAGCAGGGCTGTTGACAGAGAACTTGAGGCTATAAGTTTCTACCTCGACGTCGGCATTGCAATTTTTAAGTTTCAAATTCGACATTTCAGTAAGACGTTTTCTCTTCTGAGACTAGCTAGATACTATAAAGTGTCCTCCTTACCCATTAAACAAAGTTTAGCAATCTAGCCAGCATTTCGTGCTTAAGCTTAGGAACTTTGGACCGAGACTCTACCTGGCATGACGATCAAATTCGAATACAGTGAGTCTGCAAAAAAGCGTTGCGATTTCTGCATTAGCAGTCGTAGGTTCGGTGCTGAGCCAGTTCCAGCTGATTGGAACGAGCTTAACGTCATTAGTAGCTCCGCATGACACTCTCTGCTTTTAAAAAATGAGTATGGAGTGTGCAATTCGTGCAGAGGACAGATGGTTGGCAGAGAATGCTTCTTCTTCAGCAAATGGCTCTATCATATGTCTCTAGGTGTCGTGTCGTCACAAACCATTTGTATCAATATAATGTTTTCTGCAGTCATATGTTCTATCAACAATGAAGCGTAAGATGGACACGACTGTCAAAACCAACAAACAAAACTTCACTTTCAAACATTGACTTAAAGATTACTAACAAACGAGGTGCTGTACGAATGAGACCCACTACGACGAGATAAGTGCGAGAGACTCATCCTTTGATGTGACGGAGCTCGTCGACGTGAGTTTGGTGTAGACAAAATCACTTCATCACTATCGTCCACTTCATCATGCATGACAAAGAAACTTGACTCACGACGTGCGAATGGATCAAATCCGGCAGCAGACGTACCAAACATAGCCACACGTGATGGAGGTGGAGGGATGGGTAAGTTTTCTGCAGCTAATGTTTCAACCAAACGGTCATAATTTACCGAATGGTGGTTCACAACACTCCGTCCTAATGCCAAATGACGAGAATCGATTCGCATTTCCGATACAGAAGCACGATATCCTCCTTCTGTTTGTAAGAAGTACGAGGCAGTACTCAAAGCATTAGTCGTACTAATTTCATTTGATAAAGCTTGTGCTGACTTTTGATCCAGTAAAGCCATACGTGTCACAATATTTGCTAAAGCAATCGATGGTTGGATAACCAAGATCCCTTGTGCTTTTAATTCTTCGCTAAATGTGCAATCTGGCACCACAACAATCATTCGAGATGGTGTATTTCCTAGTAATGACGTAAACAAACGAATATTTTCACGTGTACGATCGGCATTGCCCGTAAAGACAACCACATCAGCAGCTGACATGGCTTGAGCATTGTCTCGATCTTTTAATGTATCTTTATACGATATCAAATCACCTTTAGCGTTTCGTTTCAAGATATTTTCATTCATCTGTTGCCACTTTCGAGTACGTTCTTGATCCAAAAGCGGCACATTTACATGTGCACCATATAGCGACAGATCTAAAGCAATTTCAAATGCCACTTCATCATCTCCAATCACGACAGCATTTCGTAGCTTATAAAATGGCAATGGCGCTTTTGGATCTTCGTGATCATGCATCGAGACTTTGCCCGTCATAATTGAAAGTCGACTTGGTCGAACTTTGTACTCTCCAAACTCTCCAGTAGCCGTTGGATCTTTGCCATCATACAAATCTTGATCATCATGTTCTTCAATCGCTCGATCTTTTAACGTTTCACCCGCACGACTCAAACCCATAGCACACAAAACAGGACCAATGATTTGATTCACGACAACAGCTGCTACGATCGTTGCTGCAAAATCAGCAGCCCATGTCTCGTCACTCATAGCTTTGACTTCGTTAGCTAAACCCAGCGCGACACCAGCTTGAGGTGTCATAGTAAGCCAAAGATTATTGTACTGTCGCGGCGATAATTTCAACAAGAAACGACCGCCAACATAGCAAGCAATGAAAATTGCAATGTATCGAAGCATGACGTATACCGACATAAGTGGAATAGCATGAACTACTTGATCTAACTTTAGTGCAGCACCTGTCATGACAAAGAAGGGTAAGAACATGTACGGTGCAGCCGTATCAAGAATCACATGCATGTCATGACGAATTCCCGTGTGATGACCAGCGATACATGCAGCAATCATCAGCACAAGCAATGGCTCAAGCTTCACTTCCCATGACAAACCGTATGCAGCATCAGTAGCTTTGGCGATTGTAGACGTGGAAATGTAAAAGACATACCCCATTGATAACCAAATGAAACCTTTAAGCTGCAATGACGTCTCATGGGTTAAAATTGATGAAGCTTTTGATACATTCTCTTCTGGATAAGCATTGTGTGGATGTGGTGCGTTGTCGACATCAAGTGTAGAAACTTTGGTATCAGTCTTTTGGTTGTAGTAGACAGATGCACCTGGACTATCGTCTACTTCAAGCACTTCACCATGCGTTTGATGCGCTTCTTCATGATGATGATGAGGTTCACCTCCTGGAATCTGAAAGATAGCAAATGTAGCTCCTGCAAGAGCAATTCCCACGAGAATATTTGACATGACAATACTCAAGGTAAAAATTAAGTTTGTCATCGAAACGTCCAATTCAGCACAGTAAATAGAGCAGACAATGCGAGAGATGGAGAATGATAATAACACGACAAATTCCGCTGTCATGGTCGCGCCAAGCATTAAACTTGTGAATGGACCAACGCTATTGAGTTCAATCTTGATAGCCATGACAGTAGCCGGGGAGCCCAACACAGAGATGGAGCCAAACATTAGTGCAATCCCCAATTGACAATTCAACACAAGGTTGTCATAAAAGAAAGCACTTTCCACTAGTAAATGAACGGACGTTAGGATGACCATAGCTGTAATGTAAAGCGTTGAAAGAAGAATGAAAATGGATTTGAGTTGTGGTCGAAGTTCGGGAATGTAGATTTCTTGACCAGCTTGAAACGAAATGAACGATAAGGCCAATGCGCTAACGTAATTTGAAAGCATATTGACAATCTCTTCAGTTAATAAATTCGCAACGAAAGGACCTGCAATGATTCCAATGATAAGGTAGCCAGTAATCAATGGAAGTTTAAAGAATCGAGGAAAAAAGACGGCAAGCGGATGTGCTGCAACGAGAACAATGACAAAAGCGAGTACATTGCGCAAGGTATCAACTGTGTTGTTCCACGAATTAAATGGCACCGTCACGTCTTGATCTTCAGCTGGGGAACTTAATCGACGATCAGTGTTTGACTCACCCGATACGATGAACGAGAAGGTGGTAGCTCCTGCTATCATTAAATAGAGAGCGTTAAACGCACGCTTTGTTTTCATGCTACTCGTTTGATCAAATGGACTTGATGATGTTCACGGCAGATGTAAAAATGGACGGAATAGACAACTGCCTCAATGCGACGATTAACATATCAACAGTTATCGATGCACGACATGGAACTATCCGTGACGTATAGTACCATACGTTTGGACAGTTCGTCTGGATCTCACCGAGATTAGTTGTTGACCATCTATGTAAAATGCACTTACTGGATAGTTGGACGACGCGGAATAATAGAGACAGGAACGTAGGCTTTACGACGCTAAAATAAAGTGGTTAAGAGGCCCATTACAATGCTCTGAATTATTTGGCTACTATTGATTAAATTCTGCCTAGGTGTATGAAGCGAAACGAACAGATCTGACAGACAGGCTCAAGATCGGCTGGTCTCTGCCACGTTGGACACGGCATGGGATTGGTAAGCACTTGGAGGTTTGAATGCGAGCTACTTTTGATCGCACGTCAGGAGTGCAGAGCAGTGGCTTGCAAAATAAGTGGATGGGAAAATCGTTGTACTTTGCGGCGACCATAACTACCGACTTCTCACTTAATATTAGCATTCCGTCCAGAATCTTAAAGGCTCAGAGATGAACTTGCGTGATGCTGAAATGAAGCTTGGTGGACAGAAATGAAGGTTTCTTTAAAGGTTTGATTGAACATAGGAAACGAAAGTAGGAATTGTCGAGGATGAAGAGGAGAATTGTAACAATGTCGCAATGTAGACTTACAAGTGGCTTGTCTGACATATAACTATAAAGAATTTTTTCAAGTCATTTATTGAGTGCATTGTTGTGTGTATACATGAATAAGTTTGTGCTGACCCCGTACTTATATAAAAGTCACACTCTGGCCTCATCACATGAAGGATTGTGCATAAAAATTGCGCCACCGGAACCCACACATTAAGACTATGATTCGATGCCGATAGCTATCCGACTCATTTCGGGACTGGGTTTTGTACCTCTCATTACACTTGTGGGGGGATTCGGTCAGAGGCGTCCAGTACATCCAACTATCCCACACCCAACTGGATGCGGGTTGGTATGGCAGTCTTACCTTTGGGTATAATTGCTCGTCCACTCAAGCGACCTATCTCCGGCTGCTCTGATTTGGATCCTATGGGTATCGAAACAAGTACCTATGGATTGTGCGTGAGAGTTAGCTTCAGTCAAGATTGTTAGTGGAAACCTATGGAATCAAATATTACAATCTGACTTGATAGTAAAGCAGGTAAGCTGGAGGCACATGTGCTGTCTGCCCCGGCAAATTCATTTTTAAGGCAGGCAACCTCGAAATGTGCATCGTTTACGGTTTAATATGGCTTTAGATGTACACAACAAAATCACGAGCTAAGCAAAAGATAACGCACATTCTACCTTGAAGGGCAGTTTTATGTAGAACTTCGAGTACATTGGCTGGATCGCAATCTTTCGGTTATAGCTTGACAATTTGCTCTCACGAAAGAAACACATCCAGATACTCAGTAATCGACAGATACTCAGCAAGGCGATTGACGCGAGCTTGATACTCGCTGGCGACGATGTGTCATATGTGGAAGTTTAAAGAAGAAAAAATTAAAAAAGTTCAGGTAAAGTTCCGTCTTCTAGGACCCGTTCGCGGCCTGAGAAGACCTCGCGATGGTGGTATGCTGTTTGGCAACTCGTGAGCCAGTAGAGCAGTCTATATAAGTGTACAATTGGTGCCCATTCACGGTGAAAGCCGGCCTAACGTCCGTATCTAAGAGCCGCGTCCGCTCAGCTTTGCCGGGTGGAGCAGAAATATAATCCAGAATGAGTCGATTGACAGTAGGACCAAGGATGTGTTTGCTCAAACCCTGTTATCAGCAAAGTAGCACTAACTCATTCATCCCCCAGTATTATGATTCAAAATTTCAGACAGATAGAACAATACAGTGTGGGGGTATTTAGCTCGGGAAAACTGATTCCGGCTGGTGATTGCACGAATGGCAGACCAATAGTATCAATGAATGAGTCCGATGATCTTACTTTACTCATGGCTCAAATTTTCAGAAAAAAAGATGATATTCGGATCTAATTATTGATAGCCATAACAAATTTCACGGCTTTATGCGAGATGTTTTTATGGAGCGCTCGTATGACTTGAGTATATAATGATCTGCACTGGTCGACTTCGACAGTCGAACGAAGAAAAACCGCATGTCCGTATATCAATTACATTGACGGTATCAGCCAATAAATCTGGTGGTGAAAGCTGACAAAGCTGACAATCTGCAACGGGATCGTGTACTTTGCACAGAAGAGGCTTTGACCGCTAGGCCAGTTAGCAGATGTACAGAAAGTGGGTGCGTGCTCTTTCACAAGGAGCGGAATCGAGGGTCTGCAAATTAATTAGCACTGTTAGTATTCTGTGCTATTTCAATAGTACGTACACTTCAGACATTTCTGTTCAGACCAAACGTTCGGCCATGTCCCATATTTAGACAATGTTTATTGTCTGACGTGCGATTAACGACCCACGTACACTTCAGACCCCTTCAACTCGAAGATCCGAAACTCTAAAATACCAATGTTGCGGCACTTATGAAGGTAAGTGAGTTTTATATAGTTATGCTATAGCGTAATCAACCCAACCAAACCAATGGTGTAAGGCTCAAATAGACAAGATTACAAAACTTGCACGCTCCATTTCTTACATCGAAGAGCAATACAGATAGAATTTCACGCACATTTCGTCTCTTTTTAAGAAACACTGCGCAGAAGTGAACGCCTCACAACCATTGCGTATGATATTTTCACACCACTCGCTTTACTTAACCCTGCCTGCTTTGTTGAGCGTTGAAGCGCTGAAAAATCATAACACAAATTCTCCATCGAATGTGCGATTTTCGTTTAAGGAATTCTTGGTAAAGATGTCAATGTATTCTTTACATAGTATGGGTACTGTAAATGTCCGAGTCACGGCCAAACACCCCCACCTGGCGATATTTGACATATCCGTTTCCCGACAAAGCGGGCTTTTTCTGCTTGTCGTCATCGCTGTATAAGACTCGAATACTATGCTTTGTTCATCAACATGGAGTGCTTTTACGCTTTCACGGCAATGATTAGCTCGTTAGTAAGGAACTGAACCTGACTCAAGGAGCGCGGCTTACTTTACTGCATGAGCAAGAGTCTACGTCTTGACCATATTATGTCGTGAATAAAGCTTTAAAATGTCCGAAGTCGCTCGTTGCGCATGTGCATAGATCCTACACGATTATGCGTTAGAGTCTCCAGTTATACCCAGATATCTTCGCCAAAGCTGTGTCATATGCGCTTAAAGTTGCAGCAGTCAAAAGAAACGTACCCTCCGTGAGGACTGTCGCTTGAGTATAGATGGTGACAAAAATATCGCCGAGTTTCAGACTCAGTTCAAGTGCTGAGTGAGAAAGGCGTTGCCTCCCTTGTCTTGAAGCGTTAAGAGACAGTTTTGGTGAGGCTGGCAGTCGTTTAATGCGTGATAAAAGCACGACACGAGCATCGAGGTGACAACCCACCGCCTCAATCAGTCGCTACTTACAGACTACCTTGTATCCATGAGACAGCTGTCACAGCTACTGGCCAACTTCTTTTGTCACCGCTAGGTCAGCACCCACAGAAAAAGATCAAACGTGCGACAGGTCATAAGTGACTGCGGCGTAGAGCAACTTCGCCGAAGCCGTATTACCAGAATCTCGCGAGTTCTTAGACTGCAAATATCACTTTCGCTTTTCTAGGTACTGATAACAGCTTCGCCAATTCATCAAATGTTCCGCGCCAAAGTGGTATGCCCTTTACTCATCGAGTCGTGTCAGCAAAGATATATTCTCCCGCGACTGGCTTTCATTTTCTCTCTTCCGTGTAGCACCGCATAAATAAATTATTTGCGATCGTATCGGCGTGAGTTCGAATCTGAAGTATTCCGGATAGTGATATGGCTTATTGAAGTATGTTTTCGCGCTGTCTCGCTTGCTAGACCTTCAGCGATTCAAAACCGCGTAGTTGCTTCTTTTTGGTCAGCCAGAGGAGACTGCTGAGACGTTGCTTCGTTTGTGTCCGATCCCATCACGTTCGATAGGCAAGTGAGATCAAAGTCATAAACGCCTGAACAGATGGTGAGAATATTTGCAACATTTATCTTCACGTCAGTACATTTAAATGGCTGCTTTCTAGAGGATGGGTGCGTCTGTATTCGCTTAGGTGTATTAGACTTTGTACTAAATTCGTGTATTCGTCTATAACGTATGACCGTGAGAAGTCCAATGTACAAATTACAAAACTGAAGACTTTCATCAGTATTACAGGGTACATGAAGATGTGCCCACTCAAGTACGCCAAAACAATCAGTCGCTTTAATGCGACTGTAGTAGAAAGATGTTGTGTGGTCATGGGGTGCCAGCTAAAAGCAATTCTTTACGTTGAACAAAGCGTGATGAAGTCGCTGACAGATCAGGAACAATCATTTTCCCATTGTCTGATGCTAGTGAATTTGCAAATGGCCTTGTCTAGATCCAAAACGCACTCGATAGTATAGAGCATGATGTGTCACAAATCGCGTCAGCTAATTCAAGCTGGGCGGGTTTACGCAGTGTGCGACAGCAATCTTTTTCCCACAAAGTATGCACAGGCAAATTTTCAGGTTTATGTACTCCGCCAAAGACCAGTCTGGTTTCTACAGACCACGGGCGGTCAATAGCCACCACCTATTGACGACTGTGGCTCTTGGTGGAGTATACAATCTACGTCACAATAATTCTCCATTCGGTGGTCATTGTGTTCGAGAGAACTTCTACCTGGAGCTACTTTTACATGCGCGTTAAAAACAAGCTCACGCGCCTCTTACCTCTATCTCCGCCCGAACCATGTGTCTGACTCAGTCTAGATGAACTCTGTATGTTGATTCCTCGGAAACACTCGTGTTAGCACTGTCCTCTTGGTGATTGTTGATCGTTTAGCAAGAAGGTCCATCTACCGCCGTTATGGAGTTGATCACGGCGGGTGTCTCTGCTCGGGTTTTTGCTGACTCTGTATTTGACAACGCAGTCATAGTAGCGAATGACTTTGTATCTGTCCGTGATTGACATGTCACCGCAAAGTTTCGTCAATCGGTAATCGTAGATGGTGTAAGCCATTCACGTAAATGGGATATGCGTTGTGGACGCATGTACCAAATTGTCGATGGCAGACTTCACAACTTGAGTAACTGCGGAGGATATTTTCCAGAAAGCAATTTGTGCGTTAGGTGTGAGCATCTGCTTGAGGGTGGTCAGCAAATGCTTTCTTAGTAAGTTTTTGAGATCGCTTGGTATCGAATCTGTCGACCTGTTTTTTTTCGAATTCGGGTTATTAGGTGTAACGGGTTTCACGTGCCCTGGTATGAAGGTTGTGGGTCACACAAGATGATGCGATCACACAATGGTGTGAGTTACACAAGATGGTTTGATCACACTAATGCTGTGGCTACACATAAACAAGAAGCTCCCTCACATGAAGCGACGCATTCGTCTGCTCGATGTCTAGGAGCCGCTCCGAGACAGCACGATATTCCTCAACGTGAGGCAGTCGGTGCAAAGTTGCTCCAAGCTCTCGGCGTCTTCCGCACAGTGGTATGCGATCTCGGCGAGATGCTCGACAAGGTGCCGATAGCGACGGACTTTGTCGTCAAGAGCTGGAAAGGCATCTCAAGTCACTGGACGGCGATCGGCCCAGTGGTCATCGTCCGCTGCCATCTCTTCTCGACGAGAACGTTGGTGTTCAATATCACATGGAACGTATCTTCTCGAAGATAATGTTGGTGTTCACTATCACATGGAACGTCTCGTGGGTCGACGTCGTCGCCAAGATCAAACCCAGTATCTTGTGAAGTGGCGGGTATACTCACGACTCCGAGAACTCGCGGGAATTTAAAGTGCCACTTCGGCAAGACTGCCCAGACGTCCTGGACGCTTATGATCAGAAGGATCATAACGTCCCGCGTCGTCGTACACCCGCGCTTCTCGACAATATTCAGGGAAGCCGACGAGCCATGAGTTGAGCTTAAGCTATGGCTACTGCGATAGCAGACTCATCCGTGTGAGCGACCACAGAGCTCGCGGAAGTGTGCTGGGCCAACCCATACGACGCAGGGCGACAATTCGAAGAAAGCCGACGACGCGCCTTAAGTTTAACCAACTCAAATCGAAGATTGCGTTCACCTTCTTGTGGCTCAGCTGTAAGTTGAACAGCGAGGAACACTTCCGGTGCCGCTGCACCCAGCGCTCAAAGAGCACTTCGTCATCTGCAGCGCTTTTTCCAGGGGCAGGAATCGTCTACATCGCGAATACAGAAGCGCCTCCTCGTTTAGCCCGAAGTCGATTGCGGTACGTTTCCGCCGAAATTTCTTGAGGAAACAAGTAACGAGTTCGAAGAGCTTTTTTGTCGTCAAGCTCAGCTTGTGTAGTGGCCGAAGGGCCTATCACGTAGACGCCTAACGATTGAGTGATTGCGTCTTTGGCTTCTGTAGCGATATAGGCCGAGCGGATTCCGCATTCCACGCAAGGGTCAATGACCTACCGTGGGTGCATGTGCAAGGAAGTCGTCTTGCAGATAGCAGTCAGCTGTTGCTTCTGCGCCTCGTCGAGGTAATTGTTAATGACACCACTTTCTCCGGAAGTTAAGAGCTCGAGATCCGGGCACGTCGTTCACAAGGGCTCACGTCGCGTCGCGGAGGCACCTCACCCTCTTCCTTTTCTCATCCTAAGAAAGAAGTATCCGACTTGTTGTCTTCCTCCATAAACTCGATGAGACGGGGTACGTGGTCGGGAGTAGACACCGCGTCTGTGTTCCTGGCTCTGCGAAGCTGTCGCTGACAATGCGCTGCGCGGTACTCAGATACTGAGAGCTAGGCTGCGGTTGCCTTGTAGCCGCGAACGTGCTGTACGAAGTCGCACCACGTGCAGGAGACGAAGAAGGGCTCTACCAGCGGGCACTCTCGGCCAGTGAGGCTGGATGTCTTTAGTGTCATCGACACAGGTCTCATTGGCTAAAAATTCATGAAGAAGGACCTGGTGATGTTGTGGTGTCTTAAGGGCGAAAGTTGAATGTGAGCTGTAGGTGCTCACAATCGTAATGGGGAAGAGTGTAACGGAGTCTCGCAATGGTGCGGGTCACACAGGATGGTGAGATCCCACAATGGTCTAGGCTACACAAGATAGTGTGATCACATAATGATTTGGATTACACAAGATGATGTGACTGCACAATGGCGTGGCTACGCTTAAGCAACAAGTCAGAACGTGACTGGATCAGCCAGTATTATTCATTTAATTATTTTTGATACATAGATAGAAAGTGCTATAAATCTAGATACAGGCGGCTTGGCCGCAAAAAAAGAGAGAAATACAGTTTACATTCTAACCGGAAGAAATAAGTAGCCTTGGGTTAAGGTTGCAGTTTCTTTTGAAGTAAGTGGAATGCGTTCCGCTACACTCGTACCGATTCTTAATATAATGCGGAGGTCACCGACCTTAACCAAGCTTCCTCCAAGCAAAAGAGGTACGGCAGCCTCGCTCCATCGGGAGCGCGCCCGTTCTGACTCAAAACCATCTTCAAAAGTTTTGATGATCGCAACTTTGATGGGATTGCGGAGACGTAACGTTTCCCGCACCCAACAATAAAGTAAATTAGCCAGATTCACCAATGGATCTTGAAGACGACGAGATAGAAGTGGATCTCGCCGCTGTAGGATCGAATAAAGTGTTGGTAATGCACAAATGATTCAGCTGACTCGGCACGCATGGATCTGTAATGTACAGAATGCGATTGCGGGAGCAATATACAAACAAAAACAAGCATGATTTGAAAAAAAATTTGGCTGGCGAATTGGTCGTGCCCATCACTGCAGCGGAACCCAAGCATTGCGCTAACTCGCGTCGGTTGTAAGAAGTTACTATCAAAATTTTAATCGGTCCATTCCACGGATTTTATTTCTTTAGTAATGCATACACGCATGAGCATTCAACTCAAGTACGGACGCGTCCTACATTTTCTGTAGGTCGCCTTTGTCGGGCCCGCTAAACGATCCTTGATATCTCAGGCCCACGATAGTGTCTACGAATCGACTTATGGATCGCCTCGAGTAGCCTCAGTTCCGACTGGACCACCGTAGCCAAGTTTTCAGCTCCCGGACGCGGTTTTGCGCTGCGTTGAGGTCGTCATGCTGCTAGTCAGACTGGCGACGATCAGCCTCGAGCCGAGCACGAGCAGTCCGCTTGTTCTAAACCTTTATCCACCAGTTGTCAGTAAAACCGATATGACTGAATGGGCAAAACTGGTATGAGACATGTATTTTTTAACCATAGTGTGGTCATTTGTTGATTACGAACTGCAATTTCTATTTTTTTCAAAGCGAGAAAGAAATGCAAATGGTCATCCGTTTAAAAAAGCTTCAAATTTTGTTAAAACTTGACTGAATCTGTTTTCCCACTTGAAGGCTATTTAGAACCCGGAAGAACTATCCGAGACGTTTATAAGTCATTTACAAAGAAATTTATTTATCAAAATGGTGCATATACTTCTCAGCTCTCTGGAATGTTACATCATTACAATACCACTCAGCCCACGTGTTGAATGTTCCTGCTACATGGTAAACCGACTAAGCTTAAGTTTATATTACTCTATCACACAGTCCACCTTTTTAAATAAACAATGCAAATACATTTATATAATAATGCAAATACTTTTGAGAAAAGCAATCTGAATATTCAGGTGGCATTCGTATGCAATAGAGTTACCCACATCTCACAATTCTCAAGAAAAGCAAAACATTTAAGATCACACCAAATCAATCGCACGATAATCTCTCTGGCGTCTTTTCACCACCTCACCCACTGCTCGTGAATATCCACGGCGAGGTGTTGTGAATCACACATGAACTGGTGATCCAGCGAGACCAGGTGGTTTGCACCTGTATTAGGCGTCACTACCGCGTGCGCTGACGTGGTTTTCAGCCCTCAGTGGACGTGCCTATCTTGATCTTGCAGTAAGTTCAGGCAAAAACGATCTCCGTGGTGGGTCCATATGAGTAATGCATCCAGATTTTCCTGGCACACAAATAATGGGTCTTTTTTTCGCCACAATTTTCGATATGCGGCTACCAGTCTACCTATATCACGGACCTCTCCTTGGTGAAGCTCTTTCACCCGCATATATACTGATAATTTGGTACTTACGAATATTGCAAAATATACTGCTAAATAATAATGATCGCAAGTCAACGGGGTTTCCGTATCCGACTATTTCATATCGCACGACTACTGATAAAGAAACATTCGAAAGAGGATTGTGCATAGCCACAACGAAACCTTACAGCTGCGTCACCAGACAATTGATCCTCGCTGACGGAATCGATGGAAACCAGTCCTGAAGCATCTCGCTTGGAGATCTCCTTGCAATAGGAAAAAAACGCTGCCTGTTACGAGCAGTCAATAAAACCATAAACAAAAATCAGGTCATAATGCGCACACACAACAGAAAATTCCAACCAGCCATTCTGTTGTGTATGCGCACCATGTTTAAAAATCGGCGTTTGCTCCCGAATAGTTATTATAAATCTAGCTGTTATCAACATGCACAATTTGCAACGTGTCGTTATCCTTGCTGTCACGGAAAGACAGCGCCTAGTTGGGTACAAATAATCTCTCTCATCAAACCGAATTCGTTCTTTCAACGAAGAAAGCGTCAGTGACCACAGACTGTTCCAATGGTAAGGGCCAGGACGATTGGCTCGAAATGGTTGTACTGCTGACACATTAGCTTCGTCCAATCACGAAGAAGATGAGCCATTCTTCTTTTCTATACGGCTTAGCTCCACCAATCAAGAATTACACCTGCACATGTCATATTCTCTCACTTTACCTGTAGAGCTTTGCTGCTCAAAACAGTGGGCTCTAAATGGTAGTGCTGCTGACCCAGCAGCTCCGTTCAAAAGCGACGAGACTGTGCCATTTTTATATCATGTAGAATTTAGCCCTACTGCGCAAGACTCACACCCGCATGTCGAATCCTCTAGCGTTAGCATAGAAAAATGCAGCATATAGTTGCTTCCACTATCCATCAACCATGGCACAGAAGACAGCAGCTCACAGCTATTTGCTCCGTCCCGCTCAAGATACACTCTGGGGACCAGGACATACAGACGTATTTATTCGCCGTAACAGATTATCACTTTAAAGAACACGATATACAATACCTCTGCTACCTGTCGCATCTACATCCTCGCCTCGCTTAAATCATTCTCATTCTAAGCATGCTGACTTCCGGTTTATATTTGTCAAATCATGACGATCCCATGTCTTACGTGGAGCTAAGGCAGCTTAATATTCTCAATAGAGACGCTTCTGCTTTCTAGCAGAGACAATTTTAAAACTCGCCAATGCTGCGCTAGGAGAGGAGTGGGTGTAGCTATTTTTCAGCTGACTCATGACCTGCAGTATCCCAGTCGCACCATGCCTAGAAAGAGATCGTATCCCGTACATGCGTCCAGAACTAGAGAATATATCACGTTGCTGAAAGATTTAAAACACTTGGAGTTCAATTCAATCTCGACACTTTACCAATGGGCCGTTATAAGACACATGATTACCGTTTCCGTGCTTGACATCTTCAATGCATCCGCGTACTGTCTTCTGTTCTCTATAGTTGCGCGTTGTACGTAATCACAAAACGCTGTATAATGACTTTCCATGCCCAATGAAGCCGTGATGTTGGTAGCAACAGCAGACTGCTCTGTGTTGTGAACTGAACCCTTCTCAAAGCTGGGTCTCCTTGACCACAATATAATGAGGTGCAATTGAACCCAGATTCTTTTGTTCAACGCCCTGCACCTTTTGATGTTTGACGTTTACCTGCGAAGTGCTTGCCCGATGATATTTTCACCCTCCATTAGCATTGGCTGAGGTTGAAAAGGGGGGGGGGGGACGCAAA